TCATCCCGCTTAAGTTTCTTTAATTAACACCTCACTTAATGAATTACAAGTTAATACTCGGAATTATTATTTGTATTGGAAATGCTTTCGCTCTTCAAAAATCCTAAAAAGTATACTTTTTAGGATGAAAATTGTCAATGTCATTTAATTTCCTAAATGTTTTGTCGTATTTTCCTCTAATTTTATCAGTTTTATCATTTAATGTTAAAAGCACACGTGTTACACGGAGAAATAGTTATACGTATTACACGGAGAAGTAGGTGTATTACATGGCGAAACTGTCAAAGTGTTACACTCAGCAACAGTCTCACGTGTACTGAAACGACAATCACACGTCAAACGTGTTATACAGAAAAATTATCATTTGCTGAAGGATAATGATACATATGAAAGGTAGTACTACTACGTGTTATACGTTTTATACGTGTTATACGAGGAGATACTTATTCATTTCATCGTCTGCGATCGCAAGGAAATATCAAAGGAGGAATGAATCATTGATGACTCACTGTTAAATTTAAAGATTTAATTTGAATCAAAAATAGCAGAATGAATAGAAGCAAAGCTATCAGTTGTCAAAATTCATTTCAATATGACACTCTGAGACATCCATCGTTTGCTTAAGTTTGAATAAGTCAGTGCAAAGTTCAATTTTATTCACAAATTATAAGCTGCAAAAGTTTCAGAAACAATTTTCGATATATTTCAGTCTTTTTTTGCTAGTTTGATTAATTCGGATGAATTTACTTTGGAGAAATATGAAATTGGAAAGAAAATAGTATTTGAGAAAAGGAAAATAAACTTTTAGAAAATGTGAAAGCATCCGGAAAAAGCTGTTCACAAAAAATGCTACAATTCGGAATGTAGAATTTGAATTTAAAGAAAAAAGACAATGCGATACCAACAGGAATAAGTGTAGTTACATTCGGAATTCAGGATGAAAAACATAATGATATTTGAATTTAAGATGAAAATTGTCGTTTGTTGGAATATTGACTTTTTACAGAATTGAAAGCCATTTTAGATGAAAATAATTTTTTTCCTCTTTATTCTATACTGAAAATTACGCTTCTAAAAATGGAAAATACCGAAAATTCCGCCACTAAAAACAGAAAATACCGAGAATTCCGCTACTAAAAACAGAAAACAAAGAATAAAATGTAATTATTTAAGTGATCAATCATTTTCTCATGGGAAAAGGAAAAAAAAATTGTGATGAAAAATTTTCATTTCACGAAAAACGAAAATTTTAGTACAAAAAAATTATACCAACTTTAGTTGCTTTCGAAGTTTTTTTTCAAAATCAATGAGTTAATTTTAAATTTTAAATGAAGACATTTTATAAATTTATTGACTTTGTGTAAATAACATTGATTATTATAATTTAAATAAGCAAACTATTCCATTTAGTCTAATTCCAAATTATAGCTGCTATCATTATTGTAATTGTATATGAATAGAAATAATCTGCAAATACATTAATTAATTAATTAATAATTAATTAATAATATTTGAAGGTAAAATAAGACAAATAAGCATATTACTCATTTCAAATTCAGCCACTATAAAATAACAAAAATGTACGAATAATTTTAAAAAAAAGTGAAATATGATGAAATTTTGAGAGACTCGGAAGCACACTGCGATATCGAATGCAGATAAATGGATTAGGTGGTGCGCATTTGTCTATCTCTTTCTCTTCATGTGTGCGCACCTGTCTGTATCTGCCCGTTTATATTTGAGAATGTCTGCATAACAACCAACAAAGATTAATGATGCGTATATAAAACTTAAAAATGTTTTTGAACAAATTAATACCTTATTAAAATAAGTTTCATTATATTACTTTGTATCAGAGTAACGATCATAATAGCAATAATTAATTTATTAACTCTGATATATTTCACTGTGACAGCAAATTATGAAATAAAATGATAAAGTGATTACATCCATCAATCATAGATTAATACAAATGATAAGGTTAACTTATTGATATTTTCACATTTAATATTTGAAAATTAACTGATAAAATTGCTCTTTTCCATTTCCTTCTTCCTTTCCTTTATTTCACAAAACTGATGCGACACCTTTTGTAATAACGTAGCGTAGCGTAAACAGACTATGACTTTTCTCTTCAATATTACGTGATGACGAGTAACACAGACGTAATTGTATTTGCGGTAAAAAAAAGTACTACTAAACTTAGAATTATGTTTTTTGACAAGATCTGATAAGAGATAACACTGAAATTTAGAAGTATTCCGCGTTTGCTCAGAGAGCACTCCATTGAGCATTAATTTTCTAATTTAAAAACTATCAATTAAGTAATGAAATGGATGTTTCGATTATTTAATGGTAATGATAACAAAAAAGAAGTGAAACAGTTAAAATTTTCATTGTCATAAGGCTTAAAAATTTTCGAAATGAAAAGTTTATCCACAAAATAAAATGTGCAAAAATTTGAATATTTTCCTAACATTATTTCATATAAAAAGATTTTAAAGTTTAAAAAATGAAATTAAAAAGAAAACTTATAAGTAAATTTAATTTTCAATAAAGGACAATTTTTTCGTTCTCTAAAACTGAATTGATAATCTAATCAAGTGGTATTTAATTTTTTTTTTCCTTGTTTTCATAGTGAACTTTGCATAATCGATTAGTAAAAGTTTAGACTGAAATTAACTGAATAAGCAAATGACAAATTTGCAATGAAATTCATAGAGTTAAAATTTCAATACTGAATGAAAAAAGATTTCAAAGAATTAACTGATGCTGCGATGTGACACTGCCTGAGTAGCAGTAGAAGTACTAAGAGCATCATCCTTCTCCTACACTCATCAATTATTCTCGTCATAAAAATTCAAATTTAGGTCACATTCGTGTGGAAAAAGACAGCAAAGGATGGTGAAAGAGTGAAGATGGATGGTCATTTGGTGTAGAATTTGCTGATCGAATGGGTAAGATTTGTCACACAGTAAAATAATTAATGCGATCCGCGGATCAATTCGCAGACGATCGATGTTCTTTGTGACAATGACTATCACTTGAATTGATCATTGTTGATCACATTGCTATGCAGAAATAGTAGAGTCTCAATAAACTTTAGAAAAACTTCAAACAAAAAATTAATCATTGCTTTCAAAAAATAAAAAAATAAAATAAAGAAAAATATAGCTTAAAAAATATTTCATTAAAAGCTCTGAATAAATAAGTAATCTTAAAAAAGAAACATTTTTTCAATTAATAATTTCAGTGTATGCAGGCATTTTCAGAGAATTACTACTATTCAAAAAAAAAAAAAAATCGCATTATCTGCATTGAATTGTTTTAAAAATTATATTTGATTTTCTGAAAGTCTTTAATCATAAACTCACAAAGTGTATTTACAATTCCATAAGCTTAACAAGAAATAAATTAATTTATAGCTTCTTTGAATATCAGTTTTACATAAGTGCAAATGATGACTTATGTTAATAAGAACTTCGATACTTTGTTCAATTAAAAACTTTGAAGTTTAAATTTCAATTTTTTCAAGAAATATTTTCGTGAGAAAATAAGCTTATCAATTATGTAAATAAATGAATCATTCATTCATATACATCTAAATTGTTTGAATCAATTTTATTTCCACTATACACTGCAATATTTTACATTTGCATTCCTGCACGTAACGTGAGCACGCCAGAAATGAGCACTTACGTAACGTGAGTACGCCAAAAAGGAGCATTAATAGTGTCAGATAATTATTCAGTCGTTCTCTATTTAATTTCATAAAAAACAGAATTTGAACAAATCACTGATTTAAATTAAAAGTTTTTTAAGTTTTGAAAAGTTGCAGGCAAATATTCACTTTCTTTAAAAAAATTAGTAAATCACAAATGTGATTGAAGAGAAAAATTGTTTTTTGTGAACAGTCTTGTTGTAATCTATATTTATATTTTGTCTATAATAATATTTGTGTGACAGTAAAGACTCTATGGATATTTGATTTAAGGGACAGCAATTGGGACACGTCGATTAATTTGGTTACCGTGGTGACGACAAATTCAAGGTACCTACCTCTCTCACTTCACTATTATTTCACCTACCTTTTCATTCATCATTCATCTTTCTTGATTCAGTTTTAGATGAAAAAAAGGAGAGTAATCCTTCGTACTTTTCTTTTTCATTCATATTCTATAAGCAATATGTTTCATTCGTTTCTTAAGTAAATTATAATTCATTCTTAGGTAAAGTAACATTTACCTATATGATCAGATCTTTGCTAAAGTAGCATGTGCTTATAAAATTATTTCTTCTTTTGAGTTAATTCAATCAAAATGAATAAATTATAGAATGTTACTACTTTTTTTTTCAAAAATTATTTTGAAAAAAATTAAAGAATTTCTCCTATACTTTATATATTTTATTTAAAAATTTATTCCATTTCTTTCTGAGAGGAACGAATATATTAAAATTGTATCCAATGCTTATTGTATATTATAACTTTTAAAGTAATATATACAGACAATGGGGCATTTATTTGTATATGAGTGATCAGTGATAACTTCAAGAATATCTCTTTGTCATTTTTAGTTTCGAGAATGTTTCCATACTTTTGTTTTTTTAGCAGATATCAAAACAGTAGTGGAATTGGAAGATAAAAAAATTAATCAGACGTTTTGTGAGTGAGAATAATTTGATTTTCTTTTAACTTTAATTCAATAATTTTATTTTTCTTGATTTAAAATAGTTTAATGAATTGAAATAATTTTTTCCTCTTTTCTCTCCGAAAATATTTTAAAACTTATTAGGCTTTAAATGACCCTTTAACTCTGATAAATTTTCAAATTATCGGATTGATCGAGATCAGAGGATGGAACTTTTGTAAAGGATCGAATTAATGCAATCTCCCTTCCCTCTATCTAAATATCACTGATCTCTTCTGATAAGAATCGTCCAAACTAATTCAGCTTATCACATTAATGATAGAATTGCGGTGTTCTTGAGGACAATTCCACATGTTGGCACCAATAGCAACGGATCATAGTACACCATTGTTACCGCCTGACGAAGACATTATCGAATTTTTGCGCAGCACTGATTTTGATGTTCGCTTGCAAGTAAGTATCTGTTTTGAATGATCTGAACAAATATTATTAAAATATGGTTTAAATGTGATTTTATCCATGCAAAAATTTCAAAAAAAGCAATAAAAAACCCTTTTAAGTATATTTTACTTTTAATTTCTAGGCTAAACCTATGAATTAGGAAAATTAAAGTAAAGAAAATGTAGTGGAAAAAAGTACAAAAATTAAAAAATTCTTTTCTAACTTTTAATATTTTCTTTTAACTTTATTATAATGTAACAGAAAAAATACCAAAGGCTAATTGAATTTTTCAAATTCCTTACAACAGCAAATATCCTGAATAACGTTTAAGAAAAAGGACAGCAAATCCGGAAATGAACTTTTATAGACTCTAAGTCGTTTAACCGTCTGGTTGAAGCATGACCCACAATGGTTTTCCAAATTTGTCAAAAAAGGTGATTTATTCAAACAACTTGAGCGTCTCTTAATGGATGATCGTTGGGAAGTACAACATCAGTGCATTAAATTTCTACATGATGCTTTACCAACTTTTGGAGATGTAAGTTATACTTTTTCCAATAATAAGTAAGCAGGTAAGTATTAGCAAAAAATTTGTTACTTTTTTTTACCGGTAATGTGCTTATTCAGGTTTATTGATTTCTCAGATTTATTAATTTCCTCTTTTGGTCATTTAAAAATTCAATTTTTTAATCTTTAACTGCATTTATATATATGTAAAAGTATTACATTAATATTTTGAATAAATTTTCATTTTTACATACTTGTCGCACTTAATAATTTACTCTTTACTTTTAATAATACTTTAATATCTTTTAATAACTTTCCGCTTACTTTTTCACCATTTGCTAATTCCCTTCTTATCTTAACATTTCCCAATAAAATTTCTTCCATAACTCTAACTTTCCAACAATTGAATTTTTTGCTTTGTACACTTAATTATCAGAAAATGGGTAAGTGCATAGATAGAAAGAAAACGAATAAACCTGCAATCAGGAAAAAATATTTGCAGTTGAATAACGAATAAGAAAAAAAGGACAGAGAAGAAATTACTGAACATTAAAGAGAGTAGTTCAACACCTGGCATTGAAACTAATTACCAAATTCTTCATTTGATTTTTGAATTTAAATTTCAAAATTCTTAAAGGAAAGGAGCTTTTCAAGCGAAGTGAAATATTTTTGTCAAATTCTAGACAAATAGAATTAAATAAGGTGCAATTCGTTTCCACGTGTAAGCAATTATTTCGTGTGGTATTTTCCATATTACATTTTTTCTCTGATCTTATCAAAGGCTGATAATACTACAGGAAGATTTTCATTTTTTTCAATTTACAATTTGCATCAATAATTCAAATTAGCTTGAATGACCTATTGCTGAGAGTTTATGTTAGGGAACCCTCCTTAATGGCTGTTTTGACCTGGTTTTGACCTGGTTTTGAACTGGTATCAAGGATGTTGCAACCACTTTTATTCGCTAGCAACGGCAATGCACAGCTAATTTGATAGGATTGAAGGCCTGCAAATGGTACGAATTGGAAAGGAGAACCTGATGGAGTACTCAAGCAGTGATGAGGAGGGCAGTCCAAGTTAGTTTACTGAGTCTCGAAAACTTGCATAAAGGCTGGGGTAAGCACACGGTTGCAGCAAGAAGTCAGTCCTCACTCACCTTCCCCTATGTGACAGTGCAGCTGCAGGTGGCAGATGCATGCTGCATGACTGCTTGCATCGATTTGTATTTGTCTAAGAATATTCAGGAAAGACAGTCTTTCATCTTACGGATTAACACTGTCTTACTTCGACAACTGTCGAATGATGGGAAGAAAAAATGAAATTAAAGAAAATGCAAAGTGTTCTCTTTGAAATGCTTGCACAGTTAGCTGAATTTAGTTGTCCCAGGACTTAATTATCACCTCTGAAATCACTTTTAATCTATCTTCGAACGATTTAAAACCTAGCAATTAAACTAATTTAAACTAAAATTGAATATATCTACAAAGAATTTACTGTTAATTACTGAGGAGCTGAGTTCTATCAATACTTGATTAATGCATAATTGATTTAAAATTAGTATTATTGTTTAAAATTATGTTAACGAAACAAATAAGTTTTCTGAAGGAAACAAATGAGACTAAAAAAAATGGCAGCGATTTTTTGATGCAAATTTTGATCTAATTAAAACAGATTAATAATATATCAATTTGGCTTTGTTTAAGTATATATATATGTATAGTTTTGAATGTATGCCTTTTGTTAAATTAAGTGAATTTTGAAATTTCATTATTTTAAGTATATGGAATGGTGCATAACTTATTTGTTACCGTCAATAGTAATTAAATTGGGTAGCCCGAAGATAACGATACGTCGAATAACAAATCAAATGCTTATAGCTTATCTGAAATTACAACCTGATGCTTTAAATATTGTTCAGGTAAATTTTGGTCTGTTTTTAACTCATCTTCTTTGTTTTCAATAATGCTAGCAAATGCTTACAAAATTTATAATTTAAAATAAAATGGCTCTAAATTTATAAATAAAAGAATGATATTAGAAAAAAAAGAAATGAATATTGAAAATATTAATGTTAAAATATCGAAGATTTCAAAATTTGATGAACTCTTCTGTGTCCATTTTTTTTCTTTGTAGAAAGTAATTGGAAATTTCCTACTGAACAATGAAAATGATATGCAAATAAAAGATGAAGCATTGAGAGAAATTCCAAATCTTATGATAATCGAATGTGCTAATCAAAATTGGAAATTTTTAATTAGTAGTTTAGTCGAGATGTTACACACAATTTCATCTGAAAGATCTGAAAAAATTATTCGTCTACTTGCCCACTTTAAGGGTTTGTTTTTCATTATTGCATTAATTTATTATTATTATAACCCTCAAATAATTTTCATTAAAATAATTCGAGATGAAATTTTCATACTAAAATTTAGCACTAATCAACGAACATAAATTTAATAAATGAAAAATTTGTGCAAGTTTTAATTTAGTATATTGAAATAATCAATAACCCACTATTGAGCAATATGTGCTAAAGTAATTCAAATCAAACAATTCCTTCTGCAGCATTTGATTAATTTCAAATTATTCGATTTAATTATTTCAATTTTTTCTTACATTTTTTTATTTTTTTCTTTTAGTGTACTTAGGTACAGAGAAATTGAGGAAGATTTTATCAGAGTTAAGTACGAAGCAGTATGAAATATGGAAGAAATATGAACAAATAATTTTTGAAACAAGTGATACTATGAAAGGTATAATTACTCCTTCGGGTTTTCTCGATTTTATAAGCTGTTAATCTAAAATCGTAAACTAAATCTTTTCAAACTAAAATTCGTTTTTATGTTTCAGATGATAAGTTTAAACAACTCAAACATGAATTATTAGATGTGAAATTTTTGAAATTTTAAGAATATTATGTAAGAAAAAGTTTAGTTTCAGCTCTAAAAAGTTTTTCAATTATTTAATGCTACACTATTCAAATTATTGTATGCTTCTTTTTTCTATATACAATTTATGAAATATAATTTTTAGAAGGTGTGGTGAATAAGGAGAAAATGTCATCTTCTGTTGATGTGGAATTACGGTATCGATTTGGTATCATACCAATGTCAACCAGTAATATGCTCAATAATGAAACGGATGCAACTTCAAGAATTGCCGCTCTTGAACAGGTTAATTAAACAATTTTCTCTATAACTTTGATTAGAAATTCTCAAGAAATAATCCACAATTCTATTTTTAAATGACTAAACTTTAAATAACTTTTTAAAAATAAGGAATATGTAAGAAACTTTTAAATTTGTTTCAGGTAAATGCAATTATGAATGGAATAACACCGGAAGATACGCGTAAATTTGCAGCACATTTGCATTCCTATTTTCTCACATTGGGGAATGTCCTGGATGATTTAAATTTTAAGATTGTCGCACTTTGCTTAGATGTCATTCGTTTGACGCTGGAAAAAGTTGGAGCACTTCTAGCACCGTATATACAGGTTTACCTTTACACAGGCTTACCTTGCTATTACATGCGGTTTACCTTGACACAGGCTTACCTTGCTATTACATGCGGTTTACCTTTACACAGGCTTACCTTGCTATTACATACGGTTTACCTTGACACAGGCTTACCTTGCTATTACATACGGTTTACCTTGACACAGGCTTACCTTGCTATTACATACGGTTTATCTTTACACAGGCTTACCTTACATGTCTTAGCTTACCTCCTCACATTTCATTTCCTTACATGTAGAATTAATTTACATTGTGATGTTTTAAATCTTAAACGAATTACTTACTTAAGTAAATTCATAATTCTTTAATATTAATTTACAATAATTACTTGAATTTGGATTTAATTTAAATCGAACAGAGAGAAAAATTTGGCAACTGAAATAATAACAAAAAATAATGCAAGTATTCCTTGTACCATAAAACTCTAGGTTAATAATAGTCATTATTTTTGCCGCTAATAATGAAATTTCTTTTTTGTTGAACTTAAGAAAGTCATATTTTACACGTATCACGTTTGTATCACGTTGGTTTTTTAGCAAATTGTTGGCTTAATTTCAAAACATTTCGGCAGTCAAAAATCTGCAATACGGCAACACATTATGGCAATTTGCATGATAACAATGCGAAATTGTTCACCTAAAAGTGTCATTTCATATTTATGTGTTTACTCCGAACATCGAAATTCACGAATTCGAGAAGAAGTTTTCATTATTTTCTTTTACAAAAAAATTTTTTAAATCTTTTTTGATAAAATTTCGAATTTAAATTAGCCAGAGCTTCTTTTCGATTTTTAAAAGTTTCATAAATTATTTAAATTTTACAAAGTAACAATTATTGTTTGAATTTTGAGACGAATTTTCTTACACGCAGCGTCCAATTTTTGCTTTTTTTTTTCTCTCAGATTAATTGTTCATTCTTTTATTTCCACGTTTGTTTCCCAAAAAAGTAAAAATTAGACGTTGCGTGTAAAACGTTCTAATATACCTTTCAATGAAGCATTTGCTTATTTACTTTTCAGATTTTAAATATTATGACGGCTGCATTACTTACCTTCGATTCTCGTTCAATCAATTTAAAAGCAATTGCTGACGTTGTGGTACCATTACTTGCTGATCCTAAACGACGTGTTCGGTACGATACATTAGCACCTGCGTTTGTTAAATTGTTAAATTTTAGCAACCTGATTAATTTAAATCTCTCTCTCTCTCTCTAATTAATTTAAATTTGTCGCGCAGATGGACTTTATTGCACGAAATATTTTCCTGAAAAGGTCGAAGTATTTAAATTTCAATATGATTTCCTCAAAACAAAAACGAAAAAGAATGATTGAATATTAGAATTATATTTTAGGTTGATTGCTTACTTAAATTAATTTAGTGAAGGTTTCTCGAAAATTGTCATTGAAATGGTCACCTTTCAAGTACTTTTACTCATTCATTAATTCATCTAAATATATTCTCAAGTATGAGTAATTATTCTTTCATTCTTTCTAATTTCTTTCCTTAGGTTGGCTGCATTTGAGTTATTTGCTGTTTTTGCGCATTTGTCGAGTAATTCGACCAAACGTCTGCTAAAATTAGTGTCAAATTTGGAAGAAAAGCATCATGCTTATGGTCTTTTAAGTGCTGTTAAGGTTAATTTTTTGTTTCAATAATTTAAAAAAAGAAATTAGTTGTTGCAGTAAGTAAAAATTCTTTTTCCAAGTGCAATTCTAGATGGAAAATGTTTATGACTAAAAAGCTATCTTAAAAAAAGTTATAAAAGCAATTATCAAATAAGAATTCAACTTCAATTTCTTATTTAAATTTCCTAATTTTAGATAACAAAATTGTCATGAAAAATTTGTTCATTTATATTGCTTCGAGACTTTTAAATTCAATTTTTATAATATCATATGTTTATTTTTGAAATAATTTTGGCCCATTTATGAATGTTTTAATTTCATTCAAATTTTCAAAGTAAAAAAAAAAAAAGTATTGTAAAGGAGAGAATATCACGTAATACACTGCCAAAAATACGATCCGATGGACTGATCGAATATGCCACACCGCTTGATGCTCCTGACATTTCCGCCTGCAATCGTGAAGGATGGCGCTGGTTGAAAACAAATAATTTAGATTATGAATGGATTATGGGTGGTGCCAATGGTTCGAGCAGTGTACTTTCTAGGTTTCATTCTGTTTTTATTTTATTTCATTTCGCTTTGTGAAATGAAATATGAATAATTGTTAACCATAAAACAAAGTGTCATTAATTAGTTTAGGAAGAAAATTTCATCTTTCTTAGTTTTCAATTCGGAAAAATGCATTGACAGAAGCATTCAGCCAATCATTGATGATAAAATTTCATCAAAACAAAATTTTAGTGAGTTGTTAGAAGAATCGAAGAATGAAGATTTATTTAGAAACGATACGGCAAGTTTCTCTTTTTTTTTTGAAAAAAATAACTTAACGTAACAAACGTAACACATTTTTTTAAGGGTTTTTTTTTTTTTTTTTTTTTTAAATTTCAAAAAGTTTATTCACTAATTTAAAATCCTTTTTAAATTCCAAAAAAATTTTTTTTTGTTAATTTTAACTCAAATATTTTCATATTTTTAGTTACACTAAAATCATATTATTATTAAAGAAACAAAGGTTAAAATTTAGTTGCATACAACGATCGTAAAAATAAAAAAAAGTGCGAAATCACTTCGAAAATTGCTTGGATTTGATTAATTTATTCATATTTTTGGAATGTATGTAAAACTGTTTATTTGATTAATTTTTAAGAAAGCATCAATGACTGAAAGGCCATACTCTGATGACTGTGATCGTTACAAACTTAATGGTTAGTAATAGTTCTGTTAACTTTTTTCTGTCACATCGTTTGTTTACTTTGTTGACAATAATACTTTTCTTTTTTCAAATTTAAACTGAAGAAATAATTATTTGTGTTTAACTTATATAACTGCACAAAATATAGAAAAGCAAAACTAATAAATGTATTTTTCTGTTTCTTATAACTTTTAACAAAAAGCAAAAGTTTTGTTTTTTGATCTCAAATGAAATGGAATGTTTGAAGTTGATCACTTTCATGTGTACAATTACTATTAATGAGTAGTAGTATGTGTCTATCAAGTCAAACTTATTTATTTTTAATGTTAAAACAAAACAAAAAAAAGAGAAAAAATGCCGATAAATTTCATCGAAATAGAAAATTCATTAAATATATATTCCAAAATAAGAAATCAAAAGTTAGACAAAATTATTTCGGTTTAAATGAAACTTTATTACCGAAATAATAAATCTGATTAAGTTAATAATTAATTTCCAAAAAATAGATTCTAAATGCTTCTTTCAAACTAAAAGATTAAAGTCAAAAAGTTGAAACAATTTTTTCTGTTTTCGGATAGAATGGAATTTAAGTTTAACATATATTTCAAGACTATTTTATTGGAGAAAAGAAATTAGCGCTATTAATTTGCATTAAATTAATTTAGCATTTTCTTTGCTTTTTTTTGGAGACATTCCTTTACAGCTATTACTCTCAACTTAATTAATTAAATTAACTTTGTTAATATATGAATTCTTTCAAATTTCACTACTAAGATTGTTGTCAGTCCTTTATATTTCTCAGTTGCTCTAAACAATAAAATTGCTTAAATCTTTTTATGTGAAATTGAAAAATATAACAGTAGTGTAACCTTTTTCTAGAAGTATAAATTCAATGCATCAAATTTAAAACTGATAAGGTGATTCAGATAAAGTGATTCAAACTGATAAAATTGTTAATCTTATTTTCAAAATTAACAATCTCGATTATTTAAAATCTACGTCATAACCTTTGAAAACCATATATTTAGGAAATGGTATGCATGAAAAATATTTGGACGATCATCCGGTAAATAGCTTTATAATTTTTCAAAAAAAAAAAATTACGATTTGAAATTAGTCAAATTAATGATTAGAATAGTTTTTTTTTTCTTTGTTTTTATTTTGAAAACTTACTTTTTATGCTATCTATGGTTTTGTTGAAATCATTTATTACAAATTAAATTAAAATTATTATTTAGCTATGCTAATTGTTGTCCATAATTGTTGATGCATGCTAATTTTGCAATCCAAATAGTAATATATTTTCAATTTTTAGCATAATTTAACGTAATATCGGCAATATCGGTCGATTCTCCAAAGAATTCAATTTTTTTTTTTCTTTTTCTTCAAATTGATATGAAATATTTACAGCCTTTACATTCAGTGGAACCAATTCGGCTGCAAAAATTGCACTTAAATGGCGATTTACATCAAATAGCGCAAAATGATAGTAGTACAGGCGGTAATGTTGCCAGGTGCGCCACCGCAATAAGCGACAGGAGCGTCACTGGAAAAGAACCCAGTGAGGATGAGGAGAATTTGATTGGAAATGGGTTTGTTTTAAACATAATCATTTCACAAATGAGAAATTTCACAGAAAAATAATATCAGGGGTTTTTTTTCCGGAATAAGCATTGTTCCGTTCAGGAACAAATCAAGTTGTATTGTAAATGGAAGCAGTAGGGAGAGAGAGGAGAAGAGAGAGAGACGGAATATAATGGTTTCAGTCCGGAAAGGAACGCCACTTAGTTCCGCTTCCCTAGCAACTAAGGAAGCACATTCGATTAATATTAGTCTTATTAATATGATTTTAATCATTTCGAAATTTAATTCAAATTAGTAGAATGAAAACAACGTTATTCAGATTTGATAAAATGAAACAGTACAATTCGGATGGAAATTTCTTGCCAAATAATATTTCACGGAGTAGAAAAATTACAAATCCAGGCGATCTACCCATTAAGTCATCAAAGTGTGAAACTTATTGCAACAGTAGGTTTTATTCTAAATTTCGCTTTCAACAAGTAAACATTTACATTTAATTTAATATTTACCTGTCAAAAATTAAATCTTATAGATGTAGCAAAAGTTTAGAAAATTTAGGGATGTGAGTGATCATTGATTGATAAAAGATCAATGAATGATTTGTTTATTCTGATTATTTCACAGGTTATGCACCATCAGAACCAGCAATACCTACTCGTTCGTCCTTCTTATCATTGGTACGGAAAAGTTTTAGCCATCAAAATTTAGCTTGTACGTCAAAAACTACTGGTATCTCTCAGGTAATTTCAAGCATTTTTTACTGCTCATTAAGTTCTAATAAAATCTCAGTTTTTAAGAATTAATTTAATATTTAATTCCTAATAAAATTCAATGGAAAAATCTTAATAAATGAGATAAATTGAATTATTTTCCCATCCCACGTCCATATGGCATAGTGCTTGAATACAAAAATAATAGTTCTATTTCAAAAGACTTAAGCTATGCAAGGAAATAAATTCAATTGAAAGTCTTTTCCCGTTGTTTACTTGCAATCCCATTGTTTACTTTTACTCACGTACTTTACTTCTCGTATTCACGCGCTAACTTATCGTCGCGCTAGTTACGCCTTAGTTTTCCGTTCCGTAGTATTTCCAATGTTCTTCAACAATATTCTGACAACAATTGCTCATCACCATTCTAATTGCAGCGTATTCAAGCATCTCCTAAAGTAATCAGGAAGAATAATTTAAAGTCTGCGTCATCAATGAGAAGCATTACGTCAAATTCGTCATCCGTAATAAGCACATCGAAACGTGAAAAATGTGTCCAAAATATTGAAATGTTGTTGAAAAATCCCGAATTCTCGCTCAATGATGCATTACAGAAATTAGATGCTGAAGAATGGTAAATTTTCGCTTTTTCTTTTTTCTTAACATTCTATTTTTAATAAATTTTTGGTTTCCTTTACGCTCAATTCTTCGACTGTATGAAAATTTTGTCGAGAATTTTTTAAATTCTGTACTCAGAAAAATAAACGATTTGATTTTTTAAGGAATGAAAAACTTTATGCCATCGAAGTGATCGATACTTTAACTAAAATATCGCCAGGTGTGCTTGCTGCAAATATACATCCTGTTGTTATGAAATTATTAAATGAATGTAAAAACTTACGTTCAACAGTTTCGCGAGCAGCAATTTCTTCTTTTGGAGCTTTATTTGAAAATCTTAAAACAGTGATGGATTCGGATATTGAAAAAGTATTCTATTGTTCCTTGAACTAATATTTAATTTGAAATGAATTTCATCGTGGCAAAATTTATTGTTGAATATCTTTCATTATTTTCATTAATGATAATAAGAATTGATTTAATTTTATTTTTTATTAGAAAATAATTAATTAAATATTATTAGGTTATTTTCTATGGTAATAAAGATGTCAATATATTTCAATAACTTTCTTTAGAGAATTAAAAAAGTTTGTCAAACTTCGTGGAAATTATTTGGGTCTTTCTGTTGATGCAATTTAGAAGAATAAACAAGAAGCAATATGTTAATTTTTTGTAGTATGATAATAAAGATATAATAAGCTTTCTTTGAACAAGTATTTAAATGGTGTTGTTTTCCTTTTAATAAATATTCCAGTATTATTAATTCAGGTATGTCCGGTATTGATGCAAAAAGCCGGTGATGTAAGTAATGCATTCATTCGTGATGATGCGACAATTGCGCTGGAAAAAATGATCAAATATGTTTCACCTGGGCGTTCTCTCTATGCATTAGTTAGTTCTGGAGCTAAGTAAGCTTTTAGTATTAGATGATATGGAAGAAAGAAATAATTATTCGTAATCTGTCAAATCACAAATATATATGTTAGTGATTAAAATTAAGAAAAAGTAGAAAAGCACTGATTGTTTCGTTTGAACTAATGGGCATGTCACTTCTGTAATGATAGTAAGATTTAGTTAAATTCTTTTTTCTATTAAATAATAATTAATTTACCTCTATTAAGTCATTCTTTATGCTACCAATCATATCATTATTATGAGTGATAGAGTGATAAAGATAACATAATTATAGCAATAATTGATTGATCCAAGTCTCATGCATATATGAAATACATAAGTAATGTAATGATGCAGCTAAGCTAATACAAAAATACTAATTAAATTATTTGAGTGCGAAAGATTTCACATGCAATGTAAATTCACTTTGCTTTTCTCATCTTTTTTATTTGTTAGTATCGTTTCTATCACTAATTGATTATCTCAATGTATAAAATTTCTAGTATTCATCAAAAAATTCTTTACTTTTAATTAGAAATTAATGAAAAATTGTTGAAAAAACCTTTTTACAATTTTATTAAACAGTGCCATTAATATATAATTCAATGTTTTAGTACTTTCTGAAATAATTTCTAACTTTTTCTTTCTTTTTAGAAGCAAAAGTAATACAATTCGAGCGTGCTGTGCAAGCCTATTAGTGAAATTAGTGGAACGTTTAGGTCCTATAAATGCCATCGGTAGCGCAGAATTTCCACGTTTTGTCACATCTTTACTACTATTTGCAAGAGATGCAAATGTAACGGTGCGACAGACTGGAAAATATGGAATACGACTGCTTAGCCAGGTAAAAGATCCTAAGGTTTTCAATTTAAAATCTTCTCAAAGAGTTTACAAATATACGATGAATCGAATAGTGACATAATCTAATTAAATCAAACTTAATTTTCATACAATAAATTATAATAAAAAATAATATCAATAATAAAAATAAGAAATAGTGACATAATTTAATAATTTTGTCTAATTCAACTAAACCTAAATATCGTTTTTATAGAACAATGATTTATTTGATGATGCAGTACGTAAAAGTCTGAATGAAAGTGAACGACAGAATTTGAATGAAGTATTGGATGCTATAAATAGAAGAGTAAGTATAATTTTCTGTTTCACACTGATACAGTCCGATTTTATCACAGCTCTGATAAAAATTATCAACAAATGTTCGTCAATTAAAAACTTTCTTTAAAAAAATTAACTTGCTTAAGTGTTAATTAGTTAGTCTTCACTTTACTCTTAAATTCCACAGCTTAATTTCTCTTTCATTTCACAGGGTTTGGAAGAAACTAATCTTGCTTCATCATCATTATCACTAGGATCAATTAGCAGAAGTGGTAGTACGAGGCGCTCTGGTAGTAATGGACGAGATGCGCCGATATCACAAAGCATACAACAGGATTTGCTGCAAGTGCGAAACAATCTAATTGCAAGCGAGTAAGTTTTTTTTTTTTTTTTTAAACAACCATAAATATGCTTTGAATATATTAATTAAATATATCTTAAAAAAGTATTGGTTGTGATTAGAGGAATAAGTTAGATAAGAAAGATAAGTTTTATGTGTAAAAAGTGAAGTTAATGTGAAAGCAAAATAATAACGTAACGTGAATGTAACGTAGCAGAAAAGTGAATTGAAAAAAGAAAAAAAAAAAAAAAAAAACAAAAAGACGTGAAGATTGGCGGAAATGCGAGACACTTAATGTGAGAATAATGTAAATATTATTTATACTTTTGAAATTGTCACAAACCTTATTGAATTCTCGTCCAAATGCTTTTATTTAAATTTGTTAAACTGATTTGAATAAATTTATTACATATATTTATTGGGTTTTTAAAGATGGGAGCGACGAATGAAAGGTTTAAAAGAATTCTCAGAAATTGTAATGAGAAACGATCGAGCAGCAATATCAGATACAAAAGTTCTGGGAGCATTTGTTGGCCGTACATCAGATATTAACTTTAAAGTATCAGTGGAAGCTATGGAAACTCTTGTCACCATTCTCCCGACACTTTCGCCGTAAGTGTCCCTCTAAAATACATTCTTATTACTGTTCATGTCGAGAATGTGCCTAGTTGCTGGCCTTGGCAAATAATACAAGTAGCAGTCTACCAGGCAAAAATTTTTTTAGCATCCAATTATTTCTTTTAATTAATAATTTCATTTTTACTTATGTTTTCATAATTTCAATTTTGTTAAAAAACAAAAACAAAAAAAAAAAAATAGGATGCAAGGTGAAAATATATTTTTCAGCTATTTTTCAAGTGAAGCATCACTGAAAGCAGTACTTTATCAGCTAATCAACTCACTAATGTCACATTTGGCCAGTCGCAGCGAAGGTCACCGACAACACGCAAAATTATGCTTTGAAGAAATCACAAAATATATTGGTGGCTGCTTTTTGAAACTTTTTAAATGACTAATTTTTATTGCAATTTCAATTTTGAATAATGTCAAATTAAAATCATTGGATGACAGTAGATTTACTATCTAGAAATGCAAGTTTGTCATCCAGGAATCTTCAAATGGAAGCCAATATTTTTGTTCATTCCTCTCATTCACATTCCTTTCACACTAACAGTTTGTATATTTCAAGACTCCATTATTTATCCATGTCACCAATTTCAGAAATTTTTAACATTTAAACTTTTAATATTTAAATTTCAACTCATATTTTTCATATTTTTTTTTCAGAGAATATGGCTCTTTTAGCGCCATTTGCAAGCGCAACAAAACAAGCTAACGTAAAACAAAAACCATTTATGCTGCAAACTCTTAGCAGTAAGTATTTTGTTTCTAAGTAAATTTAATTACATTAAAATTATTTCAAAAAGTGTAACATACACTCAGTTGGATGCAAAGTATTACTTCTTTTCGTCTCTTTTCCTCAATCTTATTCTATTCACATTGTTTTTGATTATATCAAAAAATTGTTTGAAATATACGTTGTACAATGTACCACTCAATTAGTTTTCGTAATTTTTAATTTAAATTAAAATTTAAATTTTTATAAATTCTCGGCTATACATCTGAATTTATAGAATTGATAGAATCCGTGTATTCAATTAAGCCACGTCAAGCGGAAGCAGTAGGTCTTCCGGTTCTCTGGGAATTACTACGGACTCCACCTCGGAGCTGCAGTGATCCGGAAGTTCGAGAAGCCATACGTCACTATGCTATAACAATGGCACGCTGCATTGGTATCAAAACACTTCTTCAATTGTCAACATTCCGCATTAATCCAAACCAAAAGAAAACACTGCAAGAATTAATTTCATAACTCAATCAATCAATCAATCAATCAATCAATCAATCAATCAATCAATCAATCAATCAATAATGGTTACAATTTCAATATGATTGTTAGTTACAATGCTCACAAATGAGCACATTTCTGTCATTTACTTCATTTATAAATCCGGAATTTTCCGGTTTTGAAATAAACGCTGGTATTTAGATTCACTGTTGTGTAATCGTTTTTTTCAGTCTGAAAATTGCTGATTTGAAATTTAAAGCTGTTCCAAAACGAATTTGATAAATATGTCTGTTTTATCTCAAATAATTATGGTAGAAAGTAAGTTTAATCAAAACACAAAATATTTTTTGTGAAAATTTTGTAAATTTAAATGACAAATAAGTATGTGAAAGGTTGGATACAACCTGCTTGCTGCTTATCATTAAAATTGATTTGTACCTCAAATAAATGAGTTATACAATTGCTTTATGGAACAGCCATTAAATCTTCATTCCTTTCCTCTCTCTCACATTCATTGTTTTGTTTATCGTTTGATTTCCCATTTAGTAGTGATAGGTGATAAGTGCTGATAAAGACTTGAAATGGAGCAAAAGTTTGTTTAATTTTGCATTACAATCGAATAATATTCGAACATTCATCGTATGTCTACTGTGGAGAACTTTTGGGATTTCCTTGGAAGTTTTCTCGACTCTCGATCGATCTGAACTGATAAGACGAAATGAACGTTTCTCCAAGGAGTCACACTGATAATTTCGTAGAGAGTTATCTACAAATGTGAGATGAAAGAGAATGAACAAACCGATGCGAAAGTTGGACGAACAGTGGACACTGCCTTGCGACACGACGTGTAATTACGGTGGGTAAAGAGCTCAGGTAAACAAAGAGTAGATGAGGTCATAGGCCAACAACAAGGACTAACACTGGCCAATTCAGGGAACAAGCAAAAGACAGAAGGATAAAAAGTAGCAATTAAAATAGAGTTTTTGATGAGTTCACTTCGGAACAGAGTCAGTTACGAATCAATCCGTTACTGAATGACTGTAAATACTACGTGACGTTACGTTGCATTACGTATTTGCTAAATTATTAATCGAGATCATCATGAAAATTTCCACCGAAGCTCCACTTTTTTCACTTTGGACGCATCTTCAGTAGGGCATAAAGAAATGAGGTAAATGAGTAATGAGGAAATTACCTTAGCAATCCTTCATAAAATGTTAATTACAGAATTTAATCATTTCAATTCAACTATTTAATTTCTCATGTTAATCTTACCATCAATTTTCTAAAAAACTAACCATCCGTTTCACTCAATATTTTCCTTTATTTACTAGCAAATATTAATAAAAATATGCGAGGAATCATTGATTCTCTTATTATTATATACGATTTCATTGTTTCAATTTGTTTAATTAATTCTCCATTTCATCACTTTCATTATCACTTTTTGTGTTAAATTGAATTTCAAAATAAAGTCTAACTAACTGGTCTGTCTATTTGGAGAAATTCCCAAGTGTTGGGACTGAGATTTTCATTGCGGCTGTTTTCATATTCCGGCACAGCTGGAGTGACTGACATCTTCCGGTTCTGTGTCTTCTACACGGTGCATTTCTTCGTTCTCAGTTGAATATGCCTCCAAAGTCAAAGTAAGTGGAGTTTTGATAAAATTTTCTATAAAAATCGTAACTAATATCTTAGCGACTACGTAACTTAACGTCACGCAATATTTGCATTCGAAGATTGATTTATGACCTGTCTTTATTTCAAAGTATCGTCGTAAAATAATTCTATTTTAATTCCAATTTTCATTACTTTTTGAATAATGAACTGATTATCATACTTTGGCAACCATTTTGAAACCGTTATTACTTTTAGTGAAGTTATTTACTTTTTGTCTTTTGTTTTTTGCTTGTAAAAGTTCTCATATTCCTTGGTTTCATTTTAAATTTCCAGGTATGTGATAGTGCAGCTGGCTAGTGTTATATCCGGTTCAACACGTATATGGATACGTGAGCGAGCAGCGGATAAATTCCGTGGAATATTTTATGATCCTGCAAGTAACTAATTTATGTAGATATTTATTGTGTTGAAAATTAAGAAAGCGTTCTTTTGAACACTCCTATTTACTCATCTTCAGTTGAGTGCATTTTTGAAACTTTACCCTTATGGAATAATTAGTTAAGTAAGGGGACCAAAATTATAGCCATTTAACACATGTATTGAAAAAAAAATCTGGAAGGTGCTGCTGGCGGATGAAGGAACTCAAATGGAAAAAGTTGAGCTCGAAAGGAGTAATGGTAATTGAAGAAAAAAAAAGTTTCGAAGCAATAAAGAGCATTTTCTACTAATTAATTTTCCACAGGAAGTGCTGTTTATTGTTTCAAATGCGAGCCTCAGTCTAATTCCATCTCTCTGTATACACTGCTGTATATTTTTTATATCTCTGGCACTTTTTAATAAGTCTTCATTTTGATTGATAGTAAAGTATTAGCCGAAAGTTTTTTGCTAGATAATTATCAAGTTAGTTGATTAGTTTTATCGTGTGGAAACATTTTTCGAAACTTATTTTGTCGTATTTTCATTAGTTAGTTCATTCTATTTATTTATTTATTTTTTTTTTAATTTTAGTATATTTGTTTTTAGTCGGACGCGAAGTACTGTTTGAAGAAAAACAGAAAGTGAAAGGAAAAACAACACTGCCAGAGTGTGTAAAGCGACGTTTTAATCTGACATGAAATTTGTTTAAATGTAATGCATATATATATATATACGTCTTTTTTGGTGCTTTATACATAAGTTCTGAAAGAACGAGTTAGAAATTTTATTTCCTAACAGTTGAAAAACAAGCGACCTAATTAGTTCTAATTCATCAAGTTAAAGATCAACGAGCACTTGTCATTCTGAATTCTTCAATTGCTAGATTTAACTACATATTTAAAATTTTTCAATTGCTAGATTTAACTATATATTTTATTAAGTTCACTATAAGATGTGGAGAAATTGAATTATCTGAACATTTTGATTTAAATTAAGTTATCTTTGCGCCTTTTCCTTTAGGCTATTCAGACTAACTTTAGTGTTATTATCTTCAAGTAATATTATCCATCTGCTGTTCTCGAAGAAATGCTCAGATTATAAACTTGTATTATTTCTCGCAGTTTCAAATTTATGTTGCTCGATTTTTTCGTTTTTTTTGTAGTATCCTTAATTAAACAGTATGTTGTAATATTTGCTTATTTGCTATATATTTTCGTTATTGCACATAATATTTGCTTATTACTATGTAATTACATTGATTGTATATAAAAGATTCCGTTGCATTTATTTTCGTATCCTGCAGTCGGTTTTTTCATCTTTATATTTTAATTATTAGTTCATGTGTTACCTCATGACTGGAAAGTGAGCTATTCGACAGTTATTTTTCCCTTTTTTTATTATCTTTTAGAATTTGAGTTCAGTTTTTGGGATGATACGGTATGATACTTTCATGAACCATACGAAGATATGTGAAAATAATGTGGTAATGCTTAAAATAGCTTTTTTCTTCAAGGATGGAGGATCAAATCCGAAATGAATTAGTGGATTACAACCGGTTTAGTATAACGCTTGGAGTTTGGGTTGCTATCGTAGTGGTGTTTATCTCGGTACTTGCGTATATCTTGAAGAGGAGGCTATCGAGTGGTAAAACAGTTCTTATCGTAGGATTATGCGATTCTGGAAAAACTGTGCTGTTTTCGAAGTTAATTAATCCAGGTTAGAGTTATTCTTATTCCGTCAGTATTGGAAGACTACTTGGAATACTGCTTTCAATAAGGCTCTTAGTTGTGGCCAAACATTCTTGATTCTCCTTGTTACCTTTTCATTTATGCGATGGAGAGAATTCTTGTGAAATGCGATTGCACTATGACTGAAAAGTTATGTTCCATCAGTCAGTTCTGATAAAATCTCCCAAAAAAAAAAATCACACAAAAATCGTCATTGCATCTTTAGTTATACAGCAGCTTCGAGTTGTTATTAAGTTCTCACAACGAAAGCAACTGTATATTTTTTATTCCTAAGTCTGAAGCGATCTGTAAAAGGACGAATACTTGTTCATGAAAGCGATGTCTTTATGTATTTCAGAATATAGTCCAGAAACTTATACATCCTTAAAAGAAAATCGTTGCGAAGACGTTTCAGTTACAAGCGATACGTTGGTTACTTTGGTGGATTTTCCTGGATCTGAAAAGCTTCGAAAGAAGCTTTTTGGAAATTACTTGCAGAAAGTAAGTTTTGAATGGAGTATTGATTGTACATAAAAGATTCCGTTGCATTTATTTTCGTATTCTGCAGTCGGCATATGAAGGTATGTTTTTTGGTAATGTACAACTAATTTTGATGTACTAGTTCAGTTCAGTTCTGGTATGCCAGTTTTTCAGTGAAATAAAAATTTCAAAACACTAGGCCATCTGTATAAGTCAGAGGTTTTCAAAAAACTTGTTGGATTTCTAAATTTAAAATTTGGTTGTATCACAAATTTGTTTGCTAAATGCTATTATTTTAGAATCGAAATAGCTTAAAAGGCATTGTCTTTGTTATCGATAGTTCAACGTTTAGCAGGAAATCACGCGATGTTGCAGCGTTCTTTTATGATGTTCTGTACGAGTCGGAGAAAAAAGTTCCGGTACTTGTGGCATGTAATAAGCAAAATTGTCCTTTGGCCAAAAGTTCACAGGTTTGGTCTATGTCATTTTTGGAATTTTGAAGTTTCCAGTAAATTATTAGGTCTCACTTTGTTTTTCACTGCGATTGTGACTTTCTCATCTATCTTTTTTCATAGCATCTAACTTCTTTTAAGAATTAACGGCGTATTTCTTCGGATAATTTTTAAATGCACCGCTAACAGTTTCTGAAAAAAAAATAATGATATCAATTATTAAAGGCCGTGCGAACAGCCCTTGAACGAGAATTTGGCTACATCAATGGTACACGTGAAGCAGCTTTAGATTCCACTGATGGTGTAGCAAGAAAGAGAACTCTAACTAATACAGGTATGTTTTTGCTTTCTGATTTACTGCACTGAACTATAATGCTTAATAACAATTGAAAATCGGATTTCATTTTCATAAAAACTTTTATTTTCCAGGCAAATGTTTCAGTTGGGATGATTTGCCATTGTTACGCTTAGATTTCATTGAATGTTTTGTAAAAAAAGAGAACGGAGATGTTGGTGATAAACAGTGTGATATCGGAGCAATACAAGCGTGGATTGCTGCTTTGTGATTTCCACTTAACCTAACTTTTGAATGTCAAACTGATTATCGGAATTTCATGTTAATTTATTAATTTTATATTGTTATTACGAATGAATAAAATTTCGAATATATCGTAATATTTAAATTCCTTACGCATTTTCATGTTCCGTTAAACACGGTCATTTACTAAATTTATGGGTTAACGTGTTATACAATTCATTCCATTAAAATGAAATTTTGATTCAAGTTGTTTTGAGTCTACTTCTTCATTTTAATTTGTTAGTTGATGGATTTTCACGAATTTTGATTTAAGAGTTGGTTCCATGCTAACTGTTGTAGCTTATAAGACGGTTAAAAAGTATTGAAAAATAATATATCATTTGTGAGAGTTCGTTTATTTTCTTGCTTCCAAGACATATCTAGGAAATAAATTGGTATTTTCAGGTGTTTTTGCAACACCCGGTCCTTGAAATATTCAGATCCGATTAGAAATAACCTGTTGGACTGAGTGGCAGAATTTGAAAGTTTTGATGTATGTTACCGCTTTTGGAAATTCTTTTTCAGATATAAAAGGATATTGTTCCGTTTAACTTTTTATTGGCAGTTTAATATTTTTAATGCAGGTGAGCATTTGGTTTCATAAGTTTCTTGGTAAGCGGTTATATAATTTTTTATTCATGTTATTTAATCTTTAGTTATCAAGATTTTCAAAAAGTACATTCTCTTTCCTCACAGGTTTTAAATTATAATTTAGAGATAGAGTTAGCTTTATAGCTTCAACGTAATTCTTCGAAATAATGGTTACAGATGCTTCCATTAGCAGCTTATAACATCCAGCGATGCACGGTACCAGATACTTGTTTACATATCCCGAAAGCACTGGCATCCGGACGATGGTGGCCTCAACCACTGTTAGTTTCAAAATTTTTCGCAATTGTTTTTATATTTTTGTATATTCCTGAAGTTTCATTGTTGTTGAAGTTTTGTTCGATTAAAATTTAATATTTTCTTCCTGATTTCATAAAGTATATAGCATGGGAACTATTCTATTGATTTAGGTTAGTCTTCAAAGGAGATAAAATTTAGATAGCCAAGTAGAATGTCAGATTAGTTATCATGCATTGTCGGAGATCCAATCTGACAAGTTTTATGACTGTTTAATACTTTTGCCGTGGCAAAAAATCATTAATATGAAATAGTGTAGATAATAGGATCTTAAAAATGTAGATCTTAAGATAATGATAGACAATAGTGGTGTAGAAGTTGTTGAAATAGAAACTTTGGAATAGTTTCTTGAAAAATAAAGATGCAAGTAAATTCAAAGAATGCTTCAACGTTCCTTTGTAAATAAAAGAAACGATGACTATTGATTTTTCTTGCTCATATAATTTTTTTCGGCGTAACATATTTTGGTTCCTTCCATTGTTTTATATCCTTTGAGAAATCCTCTTTATTTTCTTTTATTCTCGAAAGTTCTGTGCGTCTTCAGTTTATTTATAAAAACTATATGTTACCTCGTCAGTTACATCTTTCGAAATGATATGTTTTGGATTTTTACAGAATTGCTCTTTTCGGGATGGAGTGCATAATGGTAAGTTTTGAAAAACATTTCAGGCGAGATATATATTACTGCCGCAGTAGTATGTTCTCTTGCTTTACTGATGTAAGGAAGCTGGAGAATTCTAATTCTTCTAAAGAAATGGAACAGATAACAGCCGCTAATGGTGCAACCATCTTTACTTCTACACAAAGTGAAGCAACACTTCCGGATATTATTGGCTCCAAATCATCTTTCCCTGAATTATCATTCGAAACAGCAGCACCTGTCTATGCTAAGCCACGTGGAACTGGCAAAAATATTTATAAGACGGAAATTGGTGAAGATGGACAGCTCGTAGCGAACTATGTTTTATTCGAAGATTCGATGAAGAAAGCAAAAGTAGTATGGCAGACATATGCAGGAATGACAACTGAGGAACGTGACATTTACATGGCCCATTTAAAGGCTATCCGAGAACGACGACTGTCCTACAATGATCCAAAAAAAGGTTTTTTGGTAATGACTGTATCGCAGCATTTGTTAAGAGGGAAATGTTGTGGTAGTGGTTGTCGTCATTGTCCCTACCAACATGAAAATGCTGCGTTACAAATTAAGAAATCAAAAGTATGGAATGGTGCATTCTACATGTAAATTCTACATTTTAATGTACGATTGGGATGATTACAATAAGTATGTGTTTAGTGTTTGGAAATAAATATTGCTTAAAATTATCATACTGATTTATATCGAAGTCTGGAAGTTGCTAGAGATTATGAGAGAGAAAAAGTCATTTTTTGTGAAATAGAATTTAAAAAAAGGTAGAAGGAAAAGAAAATATTAAAAGAGAGGAAATGATCGTACTAGAAAAGCAAAAGTTCTTTCTGTTCCGTTTATCAGTTCGACTGCGATATTTCAGGTTGTTTTGCATATAAAATGAGTCTAGTGTACGATTGGGATGATTACAGTAAATCGAGATTTTAATATTTTTAAAAAATTAATTCCTTAGCTGTTAGAACTGTCGAGAAGTCCATAAAATGTCTCGTTTTTCTTTCATTTTCAAGATATACATGTTTATGAACGTTGAAGTACTTCAATTTTTTTCAATTTTTCATTTGTTTCAAGACAATTGGCATTCCTTTTATGCTGTCACACTGGTCGTTTTTTTTTTTTTTTTTAAATTCAAAATTGTTTATAACGCTTCATAGGTATCCACATCCAAGTGGTTGAATTTTCAGGTGGTTATTTTTCTCCTATATGTAATCTCACTTTATATTGAATTACCTCTCTGTAGACTTCTGATTTAATATTATCTGAGAATAAGATGAAAAATATATTAGCGAATATTGCCAGCCGATTTATGATCAGAAATATTGCCTACTGATTTTGTATTCCATTACATATTCGTTGTTACTGTTTTTTCCATTTCGCGTTATAGAACAATTCTAAATAGATAATAGTTATTGTGAAATGCTTTGTGTGTTGAAATAAAAGATAAATCCGAAAATTCTGTGATTGGAGCGTGTAGTATATATTTTCAGAAATGAAAAAGCTAATTTTTTAGGAGGATTAAAGGGGACGAGGAAAGATTAAATTTCTCGGTAGAAAGTTAATCGGAAATAAGTAATCCACTTTGGTCCAGCATTAAACTATAGACAACTTACTTGAACTTGAATACTAACTTAATTGATTACAAATGATGAGAGTATAGAGATGAAAACTGTAACATGCACAATTGTTGGTCTTGTTTCAGACACGAACTGAGTCGACACCGAACTCGACCGCCCAGTACGGGCATTGAACGACGTACACGACTACTGGTTGTCGACAATTCAGCACTTGGTAAAGAGGCCAATACATCTGGTAAATTAGCCTACTGCATCGATGTTTACAAACCAGGTGGACGAAAGAAGCATATGCCCCATGCCACACTTGGTGACAAGGTAATGCTTACCATTATTATGCATCTATTTTATATATGAGGGGTAGTCATATCTTAGCTCGGTAGCTAATGAGTAAGTTATAAATTAGTTTCGTAAACTGAATATTGGTATATAATATTCCGAGACATGATGACGGGTCAAATTAAGATTTACCATAAGTGAATATAATTTCCAGTCCTTGTTTATTATTTGATTTTACTAACTTATACTTAGATCTTGGTTGCAATACGAGGAGAGATGAAACAGGCGTTTGTGGTGGGAGCTAAAATAGATGTAAACTATCGAAAACATGGAATACCTTCAACGGATACCAACAACATCGTACTTCTTGTAAGATAAAACTTTATTAAATGCATATTACTCAAAGAGTGAACTATTTAATAGAATCAGTTACTAAATTAGTCATTTTGTTTGATTTAAAATCCTTTTCTATTTTAGCAAACATTTCGGCTTTCCATTTTAGCTTAATTATAATTGAATTCCATTACCACTTTATAAGTCGATTAGATTACTTTGCTGCTTGCTCCATCTTGTGACGTCTTCTACAACTCGACTCTTCTTTTTGGATTCTTCCCCATATCGAGAAGAGAAATGGAAGATGTGATAATCAAGACTCTTAACTTTCATCAAGTTAGACTATGAAATTAGGGATGACACTGCATTCGACTGTCCTCCCAACATGCTATTCCTTGAAATTCTATCAATGATATGGATAAAGCAGATTGTCTCAAATGATGTGTAATTCTTGAGGCTGAAAGAACAAACATTTATAATGTTTAACTTGCGAGCTCCCCATAGGCAATAGCATGTCTAATTAGTTTCTATTTTTCGATCAGTATCAAAGATTCGAAGTGAATTTCTTCGGAATTCAGAATGACAAATCTTACATTCTTTTCCAGGATGATGAAGGAAATCCTCTTGGAACTCGAGTGCTCATGCCAATTCCAGCAATCCTTCAACGAAAACGAGCAAATTTACAATTTTCAAAAATATTATCGATTGCTACGAAATACTTCTAAATCACTTGGTTGCATTTTATTGTTTATTGTTTTGCTTGCTCTCATATCAGTGCATACAACAGTATATTCTTGATTCTGATTTTTTCGTATTAAAAACTTGTTCTAAGCTGTATCAAATTACAAATAACAATTTTAGGGCTATGTTGTCGAACTTGTTACCAACTGTATTTCAAATAAATCCACAACATGTTTTATATCCTTCACTTGTTGGGACAATTTTCGTACACCGGCCATTGCTTCAGTAACTTCCTCGACCTAATATAAGAATATAAAACAAAAAGTTGTAGACAAACTAGATAGTAGCTGTTTATATCTGGAGACCTATTAACGTAAGAACTTATTCAAGATAAATGCGCCTCTCAAAATGAACAACTATAAATAGGTCTGTAAAAATGTATTTAAAGAAAACAGTGCAGTAATCCAATGATTTTGATTTTTCTTTCAAACTACTTGAAAGTAAAAAAGTTTGGATTTTATTTGATTCAGAACCCGCTTACTTTTGCCAGCAAAGCGTAGGTATTCTTGATAGTAGCATCTACCGAATTACAGGAAGCAGAAATTGCATCAGCAAAACATTCCGTAGCTTGAACAGTTAATTCACTCATTCCTAAACATCACTTTGATATTTGTGATAAAGAAATCTGAAGAAAAGCGAAAATATAAGAAGTGATTAAAAATGATGGATTAGAAAAGCAGAGAATGAATTAAACGAAGAAACAACTAAATTAAATTTTTACTTATTAGCATTACTTTTGCTATGCAGTGTAAACTTTCCATACAGGAAGATGTGCTACATTGAGTAATAATAAGTCATACTAACAGCTTTGACACTATAGCAGAGCAATTTGCTTCATCTAAACTTCACAACAATTTGAACATTGCTATTTTTATGTGTTCGTCGTTATAAGACATGTAACAGAAGGAAATGTAAAGCTATACCATAATCATTACATACTTCAACTAAGAACTTGCCTTTTAATGATTCACGCAAATCACGTAATACGACATTTATATTAGTTGAGATAGCATTTGCATGCCTCTCAAGGCTAACTAAAACTTCGGGATCCGGTACAAAACTACTTGAGATACTCTGCAACGAAGTTCGACTTTCATCCGATTGCATACTGCTTTGTTTGACACTTTCACGAATTCGTCCTTCCAGATTTTCGACTACAAAGGTATGCTGCTGGTCAGCAATTGGAGAACTGGATGTAGTCGCTTTCATTTTGATTTCCGGATTTCTTGATTCAGAAGGCTGCTGCTGATCCATTGTTGTGCAGTTTTACGGAAAAGACGCAGAAAACCTTTTCAATTTGTTCCTTAAATGGATAAAATGGACGATTTGCCGACGAAAATTCATTTACAATAAAGTGAATGAAGAGGAAAGCATTTATTTCATCAAAAGTGATATTTTCAAGTATTTAAAAAGAGACTCACATAAATGTTGCAAATAAGAGTAAACTCTGAAAGATAGATATGAGACCATGTCCTAATGCTATGTATGCACAACAAAACAAATATGACATCACCCAACTTTTGATCAAAATTTTTTATTCACTAACAATAAATACTCCACAAATTGTATGCTTCAATACACAAGAATGACGGGACACTCGGATACCACGTACGCCACTGGCAAGTAAGTTCTGAGCTCACTGCGTGTATATGATTTCTATGAAAAATAACAAACACAAAATTTTTAAATAATTCGAAGCTTTTGAATATCACAATGAGAAGAAGCACACAACAGTACCGTTATAGGTCAGAGCCATAATAAACAAATAAAATGAAGGTGGATATTTTTCCGGTTTGCGACGATTAATTTCAGGCTACGTCCTCGAAACAGGTTCGTGGTATCCCGGAAAGAAGCACTGAGAGAGTCAGCAGCGCACGCAGTTCGATGCACTGCAGAATACGGCTGGACTGCCTTAATTCTTCAACAGGAAGACAGTTGTCTTTCTCTCTCTCTCCCTACCTGCGGGTTACAAGTTAAAAGTATGCTTAGTTCTTGAACTAAATAGACGTCACGTAAATCACGTCTTAAGACACTGACACATAAACCGGTTATTTTATCACTGTATCATTCTGATTATCATATCAGCTGTCATCATGAAATCCCATTATTAAGACTTGGTACTTTTTAAAATCGTAGCAAAAATTGATTGTTTTCAGTAAATTTTGTCTTCAAATTATCTCGAACATATGAATTTGGAATTATGGAATTAAGCGTACGGAAGGGATCGGATCTTATCGCATTTTCTGCATTTAATTTCTATTATCGGTTTTGTTCTGATATCGGATTATCCGTTCTTTTGCTATACAAACTTAAATGATTAAATGCTTTACAAATGATAAATTTGCAAATTTAATTATTTAATTAAGTACGAATTTAATTACCGATTAAGAATCTGTAAAGGCGCAGAAAAATATTAAAGATATGACATTTGACAGGTTTTATAATACTTTCTACTACAGCTTGTAAATTAAGTGCGAATTTTAAGTAACTTTACTAACTTAGCGATTTATCAATTTGTGTAACTAAGCAAGAAGTGAAAGTAAAGTTGCTTGGATAAGAAGTTAAATTTTAGACTAATTTAGCTTTATCTACTGGAAAAAATCAATCTGCAGTTTTCACAAGGACTTTTTATTGTGTTAAGTTTTTTATTAAATACCTGATAACAGCGTCTGAATTCGCATCGCAGAAGGTGATAAGTGATAAAAAAGATAAGCTTCAGATCATTGATTAGACGACTTGGGCTTTTAGTACACAGTCAGTATCATGCAAGCATAAAGTTTAACTTTATAAACCCCAAACTCGAAAGTAAATAATTTCTTTCTTATCAGGCATCCAATGTTTGATATATAAAATAAATCCTAAATATAGAAATCAACTGCTATCATTTGAGATTAATGTGATTTCATTATTTAGTCCTCTAATAATACTCACAATGACTTGAATTTAACTTCAAATATTTTTCAACTTCAATTTGAAGCCTTTTGTTTTATAATCATTGTTTTATTATTAATAACAAATGAAAGGAGAAAAATTTCTACAACATCGTACTATTTTGGTGAATCCTTAAAATGTCTGATATGTAAACAAATATACAAATACATAAACCGGAATTTTCGGCTTGACTGTTGACTTCTTTGCACATAATGGATCATTTGGGTTCGTGTAACGTCAGAATAGTTCACGTGCGTGAGCTAAATTACACTGATGTATGATAAAGTATAATCAAGAAAGCTAGGAGTTCAGTTATCTTCTGATTTTATTTTTTGAATTTAAAAAATCAAAATCAGTAACAAAAACACTTATCCAACATATAGATTATAAACTTATTTTAATTAATCGATTTCAAATGCAGTAAGAGTAATAGGATATTACTGGACTATTTGACAGCCGAATAGTCGATGAACTTAATGGCTTCATCTCTCCTCGAGAGGTCAAGCTTAGTTCTACTGTAGCCTCATGCTACTCCCTTCCCTCCCTCTGCTGATGTGTCATCAATGTCCACTCAGCAAAACGAAGTGACAGGGACGGACAATAGAGCAGCAGAAGTGCCATGTGGCCCGGACTGCTTCTTGCATCAACAAATAATGTCTAACCTAGTCCGCTTTAAATGTCGCATGCGTGTGTGTGTCTGTGCTTGTTTGTCTGTGTGTGTGTGTGTGTGTCACATCCACGTGTCACATCCTTTTTTAGTTATCATATATCGATATTCTTTGCTCTGATAAAATAAACAAGAAATGTCTTTCCTCCTTTATTTCATTTTTAAATCTTAAATCTAAATCTTTGTTATCACTATTATATCACTCATCACCAAGTATTCTCACAACAACGTGCAATCGATTATTTCATTGAGTAAAGAGAAAAAATCCATTTTCACTAAATTTCTTTTAGTTCGTTAAAATTTAAAGACACAGACACATGCATACACATACACACACATGCATATACATGCATACATACACACATGCATGCAGCAGACACATGGACATTTCGATTTATAATTTTTAATTGGAAATGCGTATAATGAGAATGACGGAGTGAATTGATGGTTATTGAAGTATGAAAAAGGGAAATGTCTGTCCCTCTTTCATCGTTTTCTTCTTTTTTTCTCCAACAATTTTTCTAAAAATGTAAAAGTACATTACTCTCTTGCATTATGCATGCATGCATGCATGCATGCATCTATTATCAACCACTTACTTCTTCACTGATAAATTTAACTGATATGTCACTTAATAAAAACTTTTATCTTTATGCAAATGACTTATTGAATATGAAACAGAGTTTGTTTCTTATTTTTAATAAATTAATTCACTTCATTTTCTATATTTCATTAAATGATTCAGAATTATCGAAGAATGCTTTTTTTTTCTCGAAAATTTTCATTTTATCCCTAATCAAATCGTACTTCTATTTATTTTCGCTTTTGAAATATTGAAAAACTATGAATTTGAAACAACTGAGAATTAAAAATATCAATGGGTACTATTTTTATGTTTTACTTTCCTTTTTTCTCCTTTTTTTCTTTTCCATCATTTAAACTTTTTATTTCATTTTTTTTTTTTTATTATAATCGTACATTTATATGAGAATCATTCCCATCCATTTCAAAGATATTAATCTTTTTTTATTATAATTCCAAGTATATTGGTCATATGCTTCAATTGAAAATGAATGTTTGAATTTCAATGAAATGTGCACCATTTCATTGAATAATGCTTCATATTCCATAAATCACAGCATGGAATGATCTAAATTCTCTGACATTTTCAATTCTTCCTTTCACCTTTGTTTTCAATAAAAGAACACTCACAGGTGAGGGACTTACCTTACCTTACTCTTCAGGTAGCAGTGTTCTTTACCTCTCATCTAACCACCTGTCGTATTTTGTGTAATTTACTCTGTGTATAGTGTACAGCTTTATTTCTTATCATTAGCCCTTTGAATCAACAGAAAATCCTATTTGTACTGCTAACTTCAGAATTATATATTAAAATATATTTCTGATGTTTACAATATTTCATCTTCCATTTTGTCTTTTAAATTGCTCCACCTACCATACTTCTATCTCTCCTTTTTTTGCAATTAATTCGAATTATCTCTCAATCCTTTGTTTCATGGTCATTTTCACTGGACGAACTAATTTGTAACTCTGATCAACTGATATGAATATTTAACTCTGATCAACTGATATGAATATTTAACTCTGATCAACTGATATGAATATTTAACTCTGATCAACTGATATGAATATTTAACTCTGATCAACTGATATGAATATTTAACTCTGATCAACTGATATGAATATTTAACTCTGATCAACTGATATGAATATTTAACTCTGATCAACTGATATGAATATTTAACTCTGATCAACTGATATGAATATTTAACTCTGATCAACTGATATGAATATTTAACTCTGATCAACTGATATGAATATTTAACTCTGATCAACTGATATGAATATTTAACTCTGATCAACTGATATGAATATTTAACTCTGATCAACTGATATGAATATTTAACTCTGATCAACTGATATGAATATTTAACTCTGATCAACTGATATGAATATTTAACTCTGATCAACTGATATGAATATTTAACTCTGATCAACTGATATGAATATTTAACTCTGATCAACTGATATGAATATTTAACTCTGATCAACTGATATGAATATTTAACTCTGATCAACTGATATGAATATTTAACTCTGATCAATTGATATGAATATTTGTCTCACAGACCAAATTGCTTATTTCCTTCAAAAACTGTCGGTGCTAACAAATTTCCTTCACCATTTTTCCATTTATCCTTTAAAATATCATACTGAAATGTCTGTTATTCATGAAGAAAATGTGATAACTGAGGAATTTAAAAGACAGTAATTAGATATTTGATGAATGATAGTTGGATCACTATGAAAAATAATAAATATAAAAACATAATTCAAAAATAAATCGTTACTATTGTTCGCTATAAACTGCTCAATTTATATTTTTTGATTTGTAAATATTTTTCGTTTCAATTTCAATTTGTTTCTCCTTCGCTTCAGCTTCAACCACAATTGAAGGAAGTCGGCGAAATCAATGTAATGGAACTGATTACGTGTCACAGATAGCTAATAATAACGACGAGAAGATGTCATACTTTCTAAGAAATTTTGATCTTTTGAACGAATCACGTGCGAGCATTACGTCACCAAATGTTTCATTGCATTCATCAAAAGAAAATTGTAAACGTTCTTTTATAGAGTTAATATTATTTTAGATTATCTCTTCATTATTGCTATTATCATTTTAATCATTTATTTATTCAGTTGTTTGTTAATTTTTATCATAAGCTTATCGGATCTCTTAGACACTAATTTGTGCGAGCAGTTTTATGACATTTCTAGCATTTCTCTATTCACTGATATTTCATTAGTATTTTATTGAATGCTATTTACTTGTAAGAAAAACAAATTAATTGGAAACAAAATATTAGAAATTATGAAAAGAATTTAAAAATTATTATAACATTTTTTTCTTTTTTTTCAGATTTTGTACATCCAAAGGGGACATCATGTCAGTATGCGCAACTGTTGAAATATTGCGCCAAACTTCCACAGCGTGGTCACATTCTACGCTTTCCAACTGCTCGTCGACGATCGATTTATACATCTACGGATTTTGATAGTAAGTTGTTGTATAAACTCAAAAAAATGAAACAAATTGTTTTCCAATATTTACCCTGGATGATTGCTAAGCGCTGATTGTGACTGCGACATTTCAGCTGAGGCAGGATGGGAAGGTGATCGTTTTCGAGTAATGATTGTAGGAGAGGAAAGGAGAGGTACCGATGGAACAGATCATGGATTTAGGACAGCTTCGCTAGATTTGGCACCTCATTTAGAAATCCTTGCAGCTCCGTCAACTTTCGGAGTTGTTGCTATTGCTAGAGCTATCATTCTGAAGTAAGTTTTTTAGATAGAAAATTTCTGTTTTATCACATTATCAATCTGATGAGCAATGGTATTTTGAAAATTTTAATTTCTATATTCAAAATGAAATAAATCTTTAAATATTGCAGTTGATTGTTAACTTTTTATCACAAAGGTTATGATTGTTAAAAGATTTCTGAATGACACTTTCGGTCTTCATTTTTAGATATACTCCATTTTTAAAAGTAACTCTTTCATCATTTGACGATAACAGAATCGATTCTCAAACTGTCGTAGAAGTGGAATGCAACAATGATGAATTGGGAAAGGTAAACATACCTTCTTTCATTAATTAGTGATGTGATTATAAAATGCGCATTTGTCTCACTTATTCATTGGAATATACATCTCGAAATCATAGAGTTGCACAGCATACAATTTTTAAGTAATCGTAGTCTTATTTTCGATACTGCAGTGACTTTAGCTGATCATTCCCAGACATGAATACAGTTGGAAAAATTATAAAAGTGTTTACCTGAATTATTCTTACCTCTGCAACTTTCCTCTGATATCAGGTAGATGACTTGTAAGTGATCTATCTTACTGATAAATTTCGTGCAAGGACAGATTAGCTGTACAAAAACACAAGCATTTATAGTTTCTCAACTTTAGTCTTGATGTGAGGTTTTTCTATATTTTATAATTATAAATTTCTCAATTCGATAACTATTTTTTTTCCACGGCTTATTTTAAGAATTTTATACTTTAAACTTTTTTTTATCCATTAAAATTTCTATTGAATTATTGCATTTTCACTTAACAGAAAATTCAAAAGTTTTGTAATAAATGAGTATTTCATATATTCTTTATTTTATTTATGTTATTTTTTGTTCTTTAACATAAAAAGGAGAAATTAATTAAATTGAGATAGCAATGATGTTTTTCAGTTTCACTTTTATATGCATTCTAAAATTATAGATGAGAATACTGTATTAATAAACTGTTTAAAAAGGAAAAGAAAGATTAGCAATTATTTTTGTTTGGTACTTCAGATTCGAAGTGGCGGAAATGAATTAGTGCTAATGGGACTGAAATGTATGTTTTCGGTATTATTTGAGTTGAACCGACGTGAATCAGAACTTTGTTCCGAAGCTCTTACTTCTTTGCTTCATTTATTGGAGCATGTGACAAGTGACACATTAGTGAATGAAAGTTACTGCTCAGTGCAGAGTATGTTTAATATGCTCTGTCAATTAGCAATGGAAGGTTTGTCACAAGTTGACACTGTCAAATTTAATGAAATTTCAATTTTAATGTTTCAAAAATTTGTAATTTTCACAGCTTTATTCATCATTTATATTTAAACCATTAGCTGCTTTATATTTCCTGCCTTTCCTTCTCTTTTTAAATTTCAGATGTGCTTTTCCTAAATTTTTGAAATTTCAACACTGAATTAAGTCATTTCATTACAGTAGAATCAAATGATTTCTGATTGCATTGTTCCAAATATATTTCTTAGCTTTCAACCATCTTTATAATTTCTGACAGATTAATTTGAGTAACATTTCAGGTGGTGCCGAAGTGTCAGCGAAAGCAGTATCGTGTATGATAGCTTTAGCAATTGCTTATGGTGCACCAGAATTTATACTTTCATCAGTAGCCACTCTATTTTGTGATAAGCTCAATAAATTATCAGTTGATGTAACTTTATTGGTTGAGGTACCCAAAAATCATCAGAAATTAGCAAATTTGGTGCGACGGATTCTGCTTCGCAATAGTAATGTGCCAGGATGGTAAATATTGAAAATTGTTGTAAAGCTGAATTGGACATTCTTCCCATTCTCATTTCTTAGCTAGCACAAAGTGGAGACAAGAGATAAATTAAATTGCTAGCAGTGGATGAGGAGACAGGTGGCTTTGCTGTCAATTAGTTTGTTTTAGTAGCGGTGACTGGTGGTCGCACTGTTTGATGGAACATGCGATGTTGTCATCCTTCGATGTGCGAATACCGGATAGTGTCCTTCCAGATACTCCGGATGATCGTCGACTGACCGGAGCAATTGCTTCTGACGGTATGATTGGAAATGAATCTTTTTCAATTTTTGACTTTTCCATGAGATGTCTTTTTTATAAAAACTTACACAAGCAGTAATAGTTTGTCTGTCTGTAATGGAAAAAAAAGATTAATTAAATGTTTTATTTTTCCACTTCGCATTAAAAGTTTTATTAGTTAGGTGAGTTCACAGGTAACTTTTATTAGCATCTGTTTATTTATTCAGTTAGTACTTCTAAATAAATGTCTTACAAGATAATTTGTAGAATCCAATAGATATTTCATATTTAGAGTTTTTGTATTTTTAGATGCAATGAATTTGTAATTTTTGATTTCTCTTCAAATTTTTGATAAAATAAGGTTTGTTTTTTTTCTTGAAGGAGAATATGTATATGTTCTTGCTTGTTATGGTTTATTCAAGTATGGTACAGGCTTGGCGGAAACAATCGAAGGCAAATTATATGCTTCTAATAATAATTTAAAGGCAAAGTAATTTTTCCCTAATTTTCATTTAATTATGCTTCATAAATATTTTACAAGAAAAAAAATTTAATATTAATGTATGCAATAAATTTCATTTTTTATGAGCTTAGATAAATCAGTTTTAAATATACTTTTCAAGAGTGGAATAAAGGTAAAGTCAGAAGAATTAAAGGTAGATAAGATCATCTTTCTAAACAAATTCGAATTCTACCTAATGTTTTTTATTTAAATGCTAAAGCTAATTATCAATTGTCGCATTCCTTCATTCAGAAATCTTTAAGAAATTTCTCCTATTCATTCAGCAAAGGTTCTTGGTTGGCAATATGCAATGGTGCTTTATACCTTCGGAGACGTCAGTCATCTCGAATGTGGGTTATTGACGTCGATACTCTCCGTGAAATAGGAGAAATTATGCTACATACAAGTGTCACATCAGGTATTTCACTATTACTCACTAAAAATGACAGATGAAGTTTTATTAGTACAATTACATAGTTTAATTTTTGGCATCAGTTATTTATGGGTTAATCCAATTGTTAAGCATAGATAGGTGTCATCTTTAGTCACTGATATCAACGAAACAGATGTATTAACCAATGCTAAATTTACTCTCCTTTCATTTATTTCTTTAATCTGAGATTTGAATAATTTTTATTTTTGCCAAAAATTGATACTAGCGATTTAGGTACTATTTTCACCGATGGTACAACTTTCTTCCAAGCTGCTGTAGATGAACAATGGACATTAACGGTAAATTTTTAATACTTAATTTTGATTTTTAGTAATTTAAAGAGACATTATTTTTGAAAATTTCAAAGGACATAGTGGTAGAGGTAGACTTTATTTTTAGGTTACTCCACTGGATGATTCATTCACTCCAAGTCAAGATTTGCGACAAAATCAAAAATTCCGCCTTGCCGAATTAAATTATATCGCTGTTGGTGAAACATACCCAATACCACATGAATTACCTCTCACTCTTCCTAAATCTCTGCAAGGTTCATTCTTCTTTGATTTAAATCTTAACTCAGAATGACAATGCACACATCTTTGACATCGCTGAAAATACACGAAAATGAAAGAAATATGAATGAGTGAGGTGATAGAACATCAGCAGGAATTCTCACAATAACTTCAAAGAATTGAAAGTAAGAAAACCAATTAGAAATTATTTTAAAATAAAGTAAAGAAATTTGTAACAGTTATAGTAATTCATTTGAGAATTCATTGTTAACTTTTACCTCTTTAGCACAGGCATCAGATTTACAAATGAATCGAGAAATGGCTTTGCTGTTAGCAAGAAATGGTAAAGTTTATTACGCTGGCGATGGCACACGTTTAGGTTTACAGGTAAAAACAATAATTTAAATTGCATAGGTACTGCCCAATTATTTACGGAACTTTGTTCATTGTTAACTATTTCAGTTAAGTTTTCTTCTTTTTCCTCTTTAGCATAAGCATCAAATTTAGAAATGATTGACAGATGATCTATTGTTAGCAAAAAGTACGAAAGTTTATTGGAATTTCTCTCGATAATTTAAAAAAATTGCTTGAACTTTTGAATCCTGTAAGTGTCTCGAATAAATCTTTGTTTCTGAGATGCTTAACAGTTTAGAATGTTGGTTGCAACTGGATGAAGCTAGTATTACCAGAATCAATAGTTTCAATAGCGGTTGGTTTTGATACGGAAACAATTGTATTACGTTCCGGAGCCGGACATTTATGGATTGCTGGTGTAGGGCCGGATACGATACGCCAAGGTAGTCCGACTGCTGGTCGTTTTCAGAAACAGGAAGCAGGTTCAGTGGCTGTTAAGTTAAGAAAATTTCAAAATTTAAACAGGTAAACGATATTCGCAAAGGTCTGTTCATTTAGTTTCTTAACAATGATTTTCTAATAATAATGAATTCGTCTGACTCAGTAATTATCTTTTGCTATGATAAACTTTACTATTTTTAAATATTTAATTTATCAAATCTCCATTTTCATCGACATAATGTGAAGTTTGACCATATATTTAGTTCATTTTGTTGAATTATATGCCAAAAGTCTTTGAATTTAGACGGCGCTGCTTGTCAGTGGCGGTATCAGCCGGATGTATAGCATACGTAGTGGATAACGGAAAAGCATACGTTTGTGGCCGGCACACAATGCAATGCCATCCGGAAACCGGGCATATTTATGGCTTGGAAAATGTTCATTTGGCATCAATAGCTCTTGGCAAGACCCATGCTGTTGCTATTTCACGCCATGGTCACCTGTATACCTGGGGCCTGAATAATCTTAATCAATGCGGTAGAATCGAGGTATATTCTTAAAATGACAGATCCGATACAGTGATATAAAAAAGCTAATATCGACAAATTAATTAGCATCGCAAAATCAGCAAAACGATTAAAATTAATACATGTGTATAAAGGCTTTCATCATGGATGTGATTAGGGGGAATTGAATTCTTTGTTTTGGGTTAATTAATTAGATGACAGGTTAAGTTAAACAAAAGTGATGCTGATTTTTGCAGTCTGCAAGCAGTTACATGCATCAAGAAGTTGCTACTGAAACTGAAAATGAAATGTGTAAGACAGCAATGACCGAAGGAGTAGAACAAAGTTCATATTGCCTTCCAAGCGAACATCTTTGGGTCAAAGATTTTGCTTCTATCTGTTTGAAATGTGGCAGATGTTCGGCACGTGGAAGTCGGTAAGTCGGTTACTAATTCTGCTACAATTTCTTTCTTTTTTCTCTCCCTTTGAATAATTTGCTTAAAATTTTTGTCCAGATGTGCACCTATAAGAACCGAACGTGATACGAAAGGAACGCCATGTACGTGTGGAGAAGGCGAAACGTGTTGTCTAAGGTTTAAAAACTTATTTGAATTTGATTGATAATTCCGATTATTTATTCTCTTTGATCAGTTTCTGTTAACTTAAGTAGTAATTTCTTTCTATAGCACTTTAAGTTATCATTTCTATCGATTTCTTTTATCTTTCTGAACAGTTGACAAAATTAATGCTGTTTAGGTGTGGTTTATGTCGTGCATGCGGTGAATTCGTGGTTGACACTTTCGATCAGGACATACGGACAACACCGCCAAGAGCAGCACTTCCTCCCTCTCGTCTAATTCTTCAGAGAGATAGTCCCGAAATCAAGGTAGATTAATTAATAATTTGTTTGAAATTTTAAATTTTGAATTTTTTTACTGTTCTTTTAGACAGTGAATATGCATTAAGAATTCGGATATGAATTACGAATTTTTTATTGAATTCAAATTTCAAACTTATTTGTATATATTGCAGGTTTTATGCACAAAACTGATTACTTACACCTAGGTTATAATTGAAAAATCGTTTTGCATCAGTTCTGATATTTTAAACTGCCAATTGATTCAGGTTTCATCCGTATGTTGTGGCAATTATCACACCGTTGTATTAGCTGCTGATCGACAAGTTTTCACTTTTGGTTCAAATTGTCATGGACAGCTAGGTGTTGGTCATATAAGGAAATGTATTGGTCCACACAAGGTTAATTTTAAAGTAAAAGTTAGCTGGTGACAGTAAGTTAATAGGCATTTTATATTTTGAAGGCTTGAAATAGCAGACTTAAATGATAGAAATTAGTAAATCTTGTCTCTCTTCCTCTCTATTAAATAATATCCATCCAACCAAATTTTATATTTGAGAAGTTATTTTGCTCTGTGCAAAATAACTATTATTAAATGAATACGAAAAGATCTGAAATATTTTCAGGTGAATTTACCAGGTAAAGTGCAAGTAGTTCAAATTGCTGCTGGTTCAAATCATACGGTGCTAAGGACAGCTGATGGATCTGTTATCACATTTGGTGCTCATAGACAGGGTCAACTTGCAAGGTAACTGAAAGTTCAGTATTTTTGTCGAAAAATTTTCAGATAATTTTGACAAAAGTTATGTTTAGAGAAGGAAATGAAAAAAACTGGTTTGCGATGCCATCGTTTGTGGCAGGTTATGGTCGTGGAAGTGGTACCGTTGCAACCTGGATTGGTGCCTCTGGTGATACTACTCTAATTCACAGCCAAATACGCATTTACAGCAATGATATCATTTCAGATTGTCAGGTGTGCATTATGCCTTTCATTCCATTAAAATTTCAATAGCGATGTAAATGACGTCCGATCACGTCAAAACTTACCATAGTTTAATAAAGAGAAGCGTTAATGTGCTATAGCAAACAATATCATTTAGTTATAAATAACAGCAATCAGAATTGCTACTTTACGTTTATTTACTGTTTCAGCTATTCTCGACATGACTTTATCAGTTACTCGAAAGATTTCTGCCTAGTAGTAGTAAGAATATATTTTAATGACAATATTTGTTGAAGAATGTAAGGAAGGATAAGACAATGTTATCACTGATTCGTTCAAATCTTCTTTTCACCGTCAGATAACTAATCGAATCTTTGTATTAAAGCAAATTGAAATTGGCTAATGTATTTGTTAGAATTTAATTAACTTTTACATTTGAACAGAATTAAACATACTTATGATAAAGTCTCACTCATATACACTTATCTTATCGCGATGCATTTATTTGAATTGCGAGTATCAGTTTCTGTATTTTACTGATTCTTATCATCCGGTTTGTACTGTTAAATTCTTTCTTCTTTCCATTTACAGATAGTCGCAGACAGTGAAACCATAATAATATTTCCGAACCAAATTGGCAAGAATTATATGGCAATTCGACGCAAATATAATACTTTTTGCCAGTATTCATTGGGTACTGATGGTCTCTACACTAAGTATACTATTTTTTCAAAAGTTTTTTTCTTATTTCATTGTAGGATTTTGATCTCAGACTACTTTATGCTTGATGTATTCTGATGAGTAACTCTCAGCAATTATTTCATGACATAAGTAAGTACGTCTACATTTTCTGGTATTTTTTAATCTAATTATTATCAGTTTCAATTCAAATTTACCTTTCCTGAAAGTACAAATAATAAGGAAATTTGTAGTTGGTGCTTGGAATCGAAATATAATTTATTGTGGGCATTTAATACAGCTGAAATGCGTATTAAATCAATCACCGATTGTATTCCAATTTCTGGTAAAAAAATTGAAGCAGATACTGTCTTTGATGAAACGTTGGAAGAAATCGTCAAAGAAATTCAATTTCTTCGTGCACCCGAATTTCTGATTCCGGTACGGAACGAAACAAGTTTGTCTAGCAAACACGTCGCTTTGAATCTTTTTGGAATTACTTACGCTGCAACGATACTGGAAAGCAGACGAGCAGTTGGACAGAAGGTTCTCTTCTTGAATTTATCATTCTGATTTTACAAAGTTATATCCTTTCGCTTGAACCAATCATTTTGTAAAATATTTCAGCAAAAATACAGAATTTGATTCTTGGAATTGAAAAGAATTTCTGTTCATTAGCAAATGTAAATTCGTAACAAAATTTTAAAATTTCAGGATAATCAATTTGCTACGCATTCGAAAGCATCAAATATAATTGGTGCGGTAAATGGACGAAACTTATCATGTGGTTATCAACATGTCAATCGTTTTGATGGATATGGTGGTGGTTGGGGATATTCGGCTCATTCCGTGGAAGCAATCCAATTTCGTACTTCACGTGATATTCGATTTTTCGGTGTTGGATTATACGGCGGACGTGGCGAATACATTGCGAAGTATAACTTTAAATAATAATTTTCATTAAAACATTCGAAAAAGTTCTTCTTCAACGAAGTTATTGAATGTAGATGATTAATGACTTGTGAAAAAACCTTTTGTATTATTTCTGTAAATTGCTATGAAATTAATTTTTTTTATAATTAACTTTAACTTATCATTGATACATACCTTTATAAAGTATAAAAGCAGGTAACAGTGATAATCATATAGCATTGCTTTCAGATTAAAACTTTATCGTCTTTGTCCGCCAGACTATAATGAACAGAACGTTGAGTTACTCAGTGAATCTGACGAAATGCTTTACGAATGCGCCGCACACGAGAAGGCGCAGTTATTGTTTTCTCGTTGTGTCTTAATCAAATCAAATTTATGGCACGTCATTTGTGCACAAATTAAGTAAGTCTTTAAGAAAAGAAAGCAGTATTTTTGAAATTAAAGCAACAAATGACTTATGAGCTTTTTTTGTGGAATAAATATTTGATTTGATACAATTATTACGAGCATATCACTTATCATCGAACTAATATCAGCTGTTATCATTTGACAAATTATTGTCCAAGCATTATTGTACAGTTCCATTAATTATGTTAACTTTTTAAATAATCACTCCTCTTGTGGTCACATCACTCTCCTCTTCATCGTCACCTGATATTAGACTTTAGTTCACTATCGCCGTCTTTATATTAATGTCTTTGTCTTTATCAAATTTACTGTCACAATTCAGATGTATGGAAATGATTTTACTGGTTGTGAATTAAAATCTTTTAAGTGGTCCAAGTTCTGATTGTGGCTCTAATGGACAGTCTAATGTCATTGGCGATGATGGCGTGCAGTTCTTTTTTCGTAATTCACGTATGTCCAACAACGGAACCGATGTAAATGTTGGTCAGATTCCAGAATTTTTATATGTTTCGGAAACATCTGAAGGACAATCACCTAATTTTGATGTGAAAGATAAAACAATGGATATGTATGTCTTTTATATAAGTGTTTAAGTGAGATAATAAATCATAGTTTATTGTTTTATTTTAAAGTTCGAAAATTTTTTAAGATTTTGATCAGTGCATATTATCATTATCCATACCTTGATAAGATCTTGAAATATTTCTTTGCACTATCAAATATTGATCAGCAAAAAATGGATTATTTGGGGATGCTTTCCATAGTTTAATGATTAATAAAAATCATTGTTGTTAACAAATTGAAATTAATAATAAGTTTTCATGAACAAGTTGTTCCCATTTCCGGATATAAGTGAAGTATATAATTTCATGAATAAATTACTCCATTTCCGGATCCTGATTCCATATCTTTCAGCTCCTGTGATTGTATTTCGTGTGCCATAAGTTCACATCATCTGTTAGAGGTTTCGACACTTACCATTGAATCATTGTTTCGTCTGCTTGATTGGTCTATTCAAAAAGCTTTAGTAGAAATATTCAATGAAGATAAGTCATGGTACCAAGAATGTAATATGATTATTGTCATCTTGTCCTTAAGGTTTTTGCGGTTAGTTTTACTTTCAAAATTTACTTTCATAAATTACTTTTTATGAAACTGAATATGTTCGTAATGAAGAAGAAGTGAAATTTCAACTGATTGATTTTGAAATGTCACCAAATGTTTTGAACTTTGTGTGTAAGTTTGTGGTGTTACTCTCTATTTGAATTTATACAAATTGAAGAAAAATGAATGCCCGTGAATATTTCACTTTAGAGTAACATTGATTTTAGATTTTACATTTGCTCACTTTATCTGCCATCCAAGAGTGGAAAACAGATAAATAAAAAAGAGCCATCAAGTGGTATTGCTGAACAAATGGTGCGATTCGCATCTATAATTGGTTCAATTTTTGAAATTGCAAACAACCAACACAGTGATGTCAGTGTTTTAATTGGTTCTCTCGTCAATTATTTTTGATTTGATTAGATTTCCTGTAAATACCATCCTCTCATCTTATCTTACCATTTCAAATAATTCTCTCGACATCTTCCCTACTTGTGGACTATAAATATTTCACTCAAAAGTAACCTATTTTAAATGCTGGAACACATCTGTTCAACACCATCTACTACTATGACATTTCAATGCATTGTTAATTTAATTTTAAATTCTTCGAAAATATTATGTCGTAGTTCCAGTCAGAAAGAAGTAATTGTGAAATATTAATATCGAAGTTAAAATATTTCTACCAATAGACAAATCATTTTGTTTAACTTTTCAAAAATTTTTGAAATTGGATATGACAATTTTATTCAGAGTACAGCTTATTCGATACTACTGGAAGAAGCAGTCAGTTGTGCAGTGCAATGTTCACATGTCTTATACCCGAGTTCAGCAATTTTTCTCGACCGACTTTCCTTCTTAATGTCAGCGCCAAATCGTGAATGGTCATTAATTGCATTATTAAGTGCACTATTAAATCAGGAATATGTAAGGAATATTTCATTGTTCTTTTTTAAAATGGTTTTTCGAGATTTCAATTATCCATTGAAATCTCGAAAAACTTCTAAAATTTGTTTTATTAAGAGATAAGTAAAAAAAAATTAGAATGATAAGCAAGAAAAAAAAAAACGCTAGTTAAATAGAATACTGAAAGGACTGTTATAAAGGATCAAAAGCAGCATTCCGGTTTTTTTTTTTTTTTTTAACTTTTTTGATGCCAACAAGGACGGTTAGGTGAATAATTTAATAGAATCGGAAGGATATTATCATCCGGAAACATGTTAATGAAAGATTCATCGTAAAGTGGTTGCATTTCAGGTTTTACCAACTTTGCTTGGTTCTGAACGTAGCTTTGCACAGTTTCCAATTTTGCTTACCAAAATGAACGAACAGATGGGTAAAAAACGAATATCAGCAAATCAATACCGTCTTGTTTCTTTGCAAAATGTATTTCGATTTCTCTTTGAAATGGCTTTTACGTCAGCAACGTCAGTTCAGGTAAATTATTATTGCTGCTAAGCCAGAATTTGATGATGTGTTCTCGAAAATTTGAACTATCACAAAACTTACTTATTAGGGAATTAATTGCCCAACGATAATTCTATCTGTTTTATTTCTAATCGTGTATTTTTAATAGAATGAGAGCCGACTACGTCTTAGAACTGTTGCACATTCACTAATTATTGCAATTGCTCGAGAATTGGTGACATCTAAAGATACTATCGGTGATGGCCCACCAATCTTGCAAACGCCAAACAGGTCTTCTTTGATTTTCATCTTTATGTTAGCACGTGAATAACGTGAGTCACGTACATACTGACGTACGCTCTTTCTTTCTGTTGCATTTACCGTCATTATACTTTAGATGCTTACATTTTCTATCAAAGTAGTGATGATATGTACACATTTAAAGGCAGACGAATTCCTTTCACATCCATTCTACTTTATTATCATACATTGATAGTATTTTCCAACCAGGTTTCATTTAAATCTTGAACTCTGCTTTAGGTTTCGTCGTACTGCAGCACATGCAAGTTGGGATGTAAGCAATGGTGCATGCGATGCAATTGCATTAAGTGTAGATGTAACTGGTATTACTTTACATGGAGTTGGTGTATACTGTGCTCACCACGACCAGGAACAGAGCTTTGTATGCGAGGTAAATATGAGGTTTTTTTGTTTTATTTCACTGACTCTCGAATATAACTCATCACTCTCGATACATTGCATATTTTATAGATTTCATGAATGTATAAATAATTAATAACAGCAAAACATTTTGTGGAGGATTAGAATTCATGATTATTTTCATGCATTTTCTTTACTTACTAGTAACTTAATTCGGTTTATTTTTCTGAAATTTATTTCAAATTCATATTTCCACCTAAATTCTATCAAAATTTAGGTACTATTAAATGGTGGTGATGCAGCACATGAACAATGGAATGTACTGGAAAAAGTTGTTGGCACTTTAGCGAATAAATTTGAGCCTTGTCAGCGAGAAGTTTGCTTGTTACGATTAACCAAAGTTATCAAACTGCAGCCTGGTTGTACCTATGCTATCAGACTACAGATTAATGGTGGCAAAACATTTTGTGGTGAAGGTAACAGTTCGAAAGTAAAGCTTCTTTTCGAAACTCAGAAATAAGTATTGTTACTTATGCATTGGAATAGAGTAAGTAATAGAATTGTAATGGTTATCATCTGGTATGATGAACTGCTTTAAAAATCCAAACTCTATTTGGCAACTCGTAATTTTGAATTAGTTTTTTTTTTGGTGATAAATCTAGAAAGAGTTTCTTGAGAGTTAAGGTGGTAATTACAGATATTCTTTAGACTGCAAAAGATATCGGCACACAAAATTTAATTATTTTTTCTCTAAAATTAGTAATTTCCTTCTCATTATATTTACCCTAAAGAAATTCCAAACTATTTGCTTCCAAATTTCAAACTCTTCGAATCTCTGAGGTTATTTTTTCAGGCGGAATTGGAACTGTTCGATTATGTAACGGAAGTCGGATGCATTTTGAGTCCTGTAATCTAAGCCTGAACGGAACTTCCTTGTCTCGTGGCCAAATACCGTTTGTTCTCTATTCTATACAAGACGATGAAAGTGATGTTATTCAACAGTTAGCTAATCCAGAACAGGTTTTTGCTATCTTTCATTTCTTCCCAGATTTTATTTTCATTATCTTCAGAAAACATTTTGCTTTCCTTCATATCTAATGGAATTTGAAAGTCCCTAATTTAAATATGATGAATATACCCATACATAATCTGATTCTTGAAACTCTAAAAGTGTCGTAGCATAGCACTAGCTGATACTAATAGAAATTAGCTTCTTCAGTAAAGTCAAGAAAAATAATTATAGCATTAAGTAACTGGTAAAAAAGAAAAAGTTGGTTAACATAATATCTCCTACTTGCAAGATTCTCACCAGAAAAAGAATAAATATGGTTTGGCCATAACCATAACAGATCTCTCTATAGTTTGCACTTCATTCTTGGCATTTTTTTGATATTTGGCTGAGCATACTAATTTCTTAAAAGGGTAATCAAAAAATGGCTAATTTAAAGCTAAGTGTAAGTTATATATTTATTATTTTTCAGTTGGCCAATTGGTTCTTATTGCTAATTCGCATGCTATCATCTAAAATATCAGATTTAATTGCAGCCGGAAATCTTTTATCTCAGGAACAGTCTTTTTGTTCAAGTATTGCAGGTAAGTTTTATCATCTTATTTGTTATCACTGTTATCTGTGTGTTATCACTGCCATCTGTTATAAATACTGTTTACAAATAACATCATCATACTGTTTTAACAGATAATAGAGGAAGTCAGTTATGACCATATTCATGCATATAATCTGATAAGAAATGCGTCTGATAAATGAGTGATAAAGTTGTGATAACGTTTATGCTAATAATAGCGGAGGACTCACTTAAGGTTACATAATGGTATTTCTGGAAGCTAATCCACAACGTGCACTGGATGTAGTTGCAGTGTTGGATGATCTGCTACCGATGGTTTCATCAGCAAATGGTGAACGACTTGCTGAGGAACGAGAGCGTCTGCTTATGAAGTATTAACTATTTTGATAAATCATTGAGATGGACTAAATGGCATCAATTATATGACTGATTATTGTTTACAGATCGTCGCATCACAACAACGCCTATTCACGCAGTTTGCAAACAGTTATTGAATCAGCACATCCGTATTCATCTTGTGGGATACAGTCGCAGGTATATATAATTTGTCGCCGAGAAATTAAATTCATACAATGATATCACATTTGAACACTGTTACCAACTAGTAAATTAAATATTTCGATCAGACTTGTAATTATGTTTTCATACTTAATGTTTGGAAATTTTTTGTTATCAACCGAACACACTGAATTATTTTTCGTTCTTAAATTCTGCAACAATATGTAAAAAAAAGTTGAACACCTAAATGAGTTGGAATAAATTTGAAATAAGAGACTTTGGTTAAATTAATTGCTTACTATTAATGTTCAATGCTCATTTGTCATGAAAATTACATGGATATATCTATCAAGAAATATGATTAATTCCAAATTAATATTGCAGTTAGAATTTTCGATTTCAATTTTGATTTTTTTAATAGATTGTCGACTTCGGCAAAGAAGTCCAGTTCATGACAGTGCAATTCAGTGAGGAATGCTGTACCGGTCAGGCAGATGATATTTTATGGATTTATGCAAAAGTTGGTACCGAATGTTATGTACCTATTGGAAGGTAATTTTTTGTTATTTTGAAATTTCAGCAAAAAAATCTATTAATAGATAATTTTTTTGGCTCTTTTAGGTACTACGGTGATCGTAATTGGCCTGATCGTATGCTGTTGATTCCGGGTTCCAATTTATGGTTCATAATGGAATCGGCATATTATTCAAGTGATAAACCTATTGAGCAAGTTGGTTATATCATATCATTTAAATTTCTCTACCAACTTATTTTTGAATGTCACATATTGAAAAATTGTTGTATTAGTATACAGAGTGATGTTTTTTAGATTTATGGTTACCGATGTACAGTTACAGGATATCGATATTCAGAAAAAGATTCTGATATGATTTTGGAAGAAGAATTGACTTGGATTTGTGCTAGTGCATGCAGATTACTTGTCCAGGTGGAATTTCTAGCTTCACTTCTTTTCTTATTAAATTTTGAATTTTCATCTAAGTATTTTCAATGTCTTAAAAACTTATACTTATCTACGAGATAGAGAAAGAGTACATTTCACTTTTCCCTACCGTTTGCAGATTCCGTCCGTCAAAACCGTGATAGCAGCAGTAACGATGGTCGAGGATGAAATTGATGATATTGTCCGTAAACATGGCACATTACTTCGGAAGGGATTAAATCTTTCCCATCTTCCAACAGTTAATGAAGTTCTGAAGCGTAACTTGCCAACTCCTTTACAAACTTCAGGTAAACTTAGCAGTGAAATTTTCGTCTATTGAAAAAAAAAATTCTTTTTTTAGTTAAAATTGTTAGTTATAATGACAAGACTTGTCTGTTTTTAAAACGATTTTATTAAAAAATATTTCTTCTATTATCTCTCTCTCTTTTTTTTTTTTCCTTTGGATGACCGAATATATTGGATTTAGTTTGGTACAGAATTAAGCTTACTTTTTGTCAAATTGAGGAAGTAATTTTTTAAGATCTGAAATTCTTAAAAGAGTTTATCACTGCTTCTGCAAATACTGTGGCTGGTTTCCTGGCACGATGGTTGATGAATGAACCAGTTGTAGATCTTCATTCCAGTCAACTGCAAATGTCTGATGAGGAAACACGACTTAGAATTCCCACTCAGGTAATTCTAAAAAAAAGTTATGTCTCCTATAGAGTAAAAGTATTTCCTTTGGTTTATCCGTTTCTTTCATCATGATTTTTATGTGGATTTGTGCTGTGACACCAATCAAATAAGGAAAACAGATAGTATAACTAATACTTCATCTAATTTGTCTTTGTCCTTCAATCATTTGCATTGTTTACCCTTCCTGGGTTACAATATTTCTGAATTACCAACCTAATACGAACCTACCTCTCCAGGTAAAGCTGATTCCTAGAGATCAATACGGTCGTCTTGTGATTTGCCCAAATATGAAGGTTGAAATCACAGTTCGTACCGATGTGGCATCAGACAATAGTAATTCGAACTTTTATGGAACTGTAACTCATAATCACTCAGTTGTAAATCTTCCTCAACCACAGTCCATCAAGGTTAATTTAATTAACCGTTCTAAAATTATTTGCTCCTTTAGTGAAAGTTTGACATAGGAGATGAAGAGTAAGTAAACTGACTAATTTATTTGCTCCATATTTTAGATATTTAAATAATAAATTTAATTGATTCTGGAAATTAAATATTACTAAAGAAAGTCTTGAACAAATTCTAGAAAACTACGAACATTCGGGTTTAACTACCATATTTAATTAATTTAAACTTTCAAGGAGCCATATCGTCCAGTTTTCGTGAACAAAACACGATATGTTTCGATCACGGCAATGACTGCTTATCAGGATTATTGCTTTGAGGAGTTACGTCTTGGTTGTTACAAAGATGCGATCATGAAAGAGCAACTTACTGTAAGTCAACAAGTTGATGGCAGGTTGGTCCTTTTTTCATTTCACCTATTGATGATCTAAGTGGTAGGCGTTTAAGTGAGTTCAGCTAGAATAAAACATTAAATTACCTGAGAAAACTATATTTAGAAGCAGCAATCTAGCTAATATTTAATGGAGAGTTTCTTTACTTATTCTCTTTTACAAATATTTAAATTAATTTCTTAATTTAGTTTTTTGGCCAACTGGACACCCAAACATGGTGGCACATATCGAATCGAATGCCGTTTAGATGGATTTCAATTGGCTCAGAGCTATTTGGTTGAGGTAATTTTAGAAATGATATTTTTATATTTTGTAACACACTTTATATTAGCTTTTACTGAGGAATATTGTTTTTAACATTGTCAATTTGTTTCATACTAAATTATTTAACTTTAATTGATTCCATGTCCAACTTATAATATATCAATTGATTATTGAAGATTTTTAGAATGAATATGAGGTATTATATTTTGTTTATCATATATTTGAGATCCCCAATTTTGTTTTGTTGAGTAAAAAAACTAAAAAAGTTAAAAAAAGTTAAGAAGTAAAAAAAAAAGAAGTGGAAAAAGTGTTTTTTTTTTATTTTCTTGCTTTATTTTATTTGAAAATTTACTACATTGTTAAACTAAAGTTCAATTTTCGTTTCATTAAATTATTGAAATAAAGTTTTTCATGCTTATTTTGAATGATGTTTTTTGTTGTATTTTTCTAATTTTGTCTCTAATTTTTTATAGGTACGGGACAATAATATATTTAGTGGTTCAATGTCTTCAAAAGATGACAGTAAAAATCGTTTGAATCGAAGAGTAGCTCATTTTAGCAGGTTTGACTTAAATTAATCTAACCGAAAAAGAAATCATGAATTAGCTTCAAGCAAGATTCCAAAATTAGACTTACAGATTGCTGATTTTCTTGCTGTCAAATAAGGAGAATAAGGGAAAGTGAAATTAGAGCAATTCCTGGGAGTGTTTTTGAAATAGATTGCTTTCAGGACACGTTTTGCTTTATGTGACCAAAAGCTGATGATGAAAGGTGTACGAATCCGTGCTTCGCCAGCGTTGAATTCCTCACAAATTGGTGTCATACCTCGCGGTACTACTGTTTCTTATATTGAAGAAGTAGAAAACGCTGATGGTATCTGGTTGAGACTTACCGATGAAGCTTGTGCGATATACTGTGATGCACAATTACCTTCGCAGGTATGTCTCTCGAGAGTAGATCTATCAGGCCATCGTAGAAGATCGACAACTTGGCTGGTTTTCTATTAGTAATTTCCCAGTGAAGTCTGTTGATAACAGTTAAATCAATTTTGGTTTCGGGAAGGCATTTTATCTTTCATCGTTATTTATGGCTTTATCCTCAATGTATATTAAATCAAAAGGTGTATTTATGGTTCACTTAATCTTAGTAAGAGACATAAGTTAGCATTAAATTTAAATAGATTTATATCTTTTAAATCTGTATAATGGCTTTTTTTAAGGGTTGGTGCTTACAATATAGTAACCATCTAGGACGTTCATTCTTATTGCTACAATCCGATTCTACGGAGGATTTTATTCATGATTCTAATTTATTAAGTACCACCATCCAATTACCACAGAATGGAGGAACAAATAATGAGCAGTATCTTGAGCAATCGTTGCAACTTGATGTTGAACAGGTAAGGTCATTTTCCTCAATATAATAAATAAACTTTTATATCATAATTTCTTTAAGGATTAAAATTATTAAAAGTTACGATGAGTTGGCACTAATCAACTGAGTAGCATTTAGCTAAGCTTTTTTGATTAGTATTCTAGAAATTTCTTTCAGAAAGAGATTAGATTCACATGAATTAATATGTGAGATTTTGAATGATTTGAAGTTAAAAGTTCTTATAGATCTATGCAGCATGTGATTCGCTCCCAGTCTCGATTTACAATTATCCATCAGTAGATGCTATTTGTGGTGATGTTATTAGCAATGCAGAAACCGGTGAAATAAGGTCGTCCGGTTGGATTCATAATAAGCAGGGAATATGGATACGATTATCCGGCTTCGATCAAAAATATGCTTTTGTGCAGGTAAAAGACTAACCCAGAATGTTTCATTGATCAGGGTTTGCTTTTTTCAGCTTTTGAAACTAGGACAAGATTAGAAAAAAAAATTTTTTTTTCGTTCTTCATCGCATGATGAATTAAATTTACATCTTTGTTAGTCTTCGAAATTCAATTCTGATAGTATAAGCATAAATTCTATTAATTGGAAAATTTGAATTTGAATTTTTGTTATATATAATTGTAGTTAACTTTTTGGAATTTCACTTTTGTCTTTTTTCTTTGAATCCTAATTATTGGACGAATGCACTGAGATATTTATAGGATTTGGCTGGTAATCGATATTTACAAAAAATAAGTGACATTACACAACGCTGTACCAATGGAAATGTTGAAGGTTCACCGACGGGTCAAAAACCAATAGCGCAAATTTACCCGCGATCAAGGTTACAATATATCAAATTTAAGAAAGTTAACAGGAAAGAAATCTTATCAGTATTGATTTTGCAATTTATTTGAACTGTAGAAATGATTTTAGGAGTGATCAGTTGATGCAAGCATTAAAGCCTTCAATTGCTGACTGTTGTCGAACAGTATTCGCTGCATTTCTGTGGCATGAACGATTGGTGAAGGATGCAATGGTATGCAGTACGTACCTTAAATTTCATCCGGAATTGCATTCTGTAAGTTCTTTTCTCTTGCAGAAAAGAAAAATGTTTTCTTATAATAGCTAATAAGTTTATATTAACATTAGACAGAAAAGAATGTAAAGGTGAGAATTCAATAAAATTAATTCAATTTATAATGAATTATGGAAGTTTCACTATTTCTACTTCTTATTTCCCACCCGTTTTCATTTCAGATAACTTTCGGTCAAAATCGGATGGAACTAATCATGACTACACCGATGCATTCGCTTTTCAGCATTTGGCAAGAAATTAATGCGGCAGTACAGACCAGTATTGAACAACGTTCAGTACTTTTGTGTCCAGTGACCCCACGTCAGTTCGATGTGAAACCAATAAGTGTGAATATTGGCGCCTCTCGTCAAGTTTCTTCTTTTACTGTTATTTTTGTTCTTCTCACTAATTTCTTTTCTAAACTTTTAAATTGTCGTTAAGTGCACTTAAGAGATTTAAAAGATATGAATAATATTGTGAGGTTATTACTAAGGGATCATCGTCAACTCAACGAAAGGATTTATGTGAACTCTGTGAAGAGTGGCATGCAGCACCAGTGACCACTCATATGCGTATGGCACATCCTGGATGTAGCAAATATTCCGGTGGTCAAGGATATAACAGTTCTGGTAAATATACAAGTGGTTGGTCAGGAAATTGTGGTGATGGTGGACGACCAACTGCTGTTTGGTAGATTTAAGCGTTTATTTAACTGATTTCTCTGTTTTTTTTCATTTAGAATTTCCCTTTAGATTTTAGAAAATTATTAATGTTTTAGGTATTTGATGTGTGCTACATGCCGATCAAAATATTTGTTGCAGACTCCATCTGGACATCAACAGGTTATACACATATATATATGTTTCCATCACTTTTTTAGTTTCAAAAATTGTGATTTATTGAAAAGTAAAGAATGAGAGTGAAATATTTTTCACTGCTCGAATCTTCAATACTTCGATATCACAGCATACCAAACACAAATTTGTTATAATTTTTGAGTGCTAACTTTTTTCAGATATAAAGAAGTATTTGTTTTAGGAGCGAACTCGTCGATGGCGTGAATTTTGCGCCTCCTCAGCTGTCGCAGAAATGTCTCCAGAAGCAGTAATCAAGCAAAATGCAATGTTTCTTATGGAGTTAAATGCATGTTTGGATGATGATAGCAAGGATACGTCAAGAGCGACATCTGGCTGGACAATAAATCTTTTCCCACAATCATCCATGGTGACACCACCTGTCACTTCAACATGTATACAAACGGATGTTGGAATAGTATCACAACCAGTAACTTTGTCAATGATTTCTTTTTTTTGTACTGATTACAAAAACTGAGAACATTGCTTTTTCTGTTTTGATTTAACATCTGCTAATAAGAATCCTAAAATAGCAGTGAAACTTGCAGTGCATTGAATCAGTCCTGAAATTAAACTAGAAACTAATATTTCACTTTTGACCAATTATCATAGTAATTAATTGGTCAAATGTTTGGATATTGACCAAAACAGTTCTCATTACTGAGATTTTGGTTTATAATCTTGAAATATTGATGTTTAGACAACAAAATTATCAGTTTCCTGCATAAAATTGAAAATTAATGTACTTGATAATTCATATGATTGGATAAGAATTCGTATCCTTAATTTTTCAGTCCATAAATTTAATATTTCGTCCATTTCGTCCTGATGATTATATTTTACTAATAACGGATGACTTACAGCAATTATCAAATGGAGGTGGAAATGGTTGTCACCTACGAAAATTATCATATGCCAGTGACCCAGGACCAAAGCACAGTTGTGTTACTACTCATTCCGCTCTTTCAAACTACAATCCATTGTATTCGACGAGACGGGTGAGTTGTAGCCGAAAAGTCACTAATTTTCAATCAAAAACACAAGGGAGGATTTACTTGTGTGTTAAGTATGGAAAGATACTGATGAAAGAGTTTATATGGATGAAATTTAGCTATTTACATGTTTTATTTTTGGAATTAAATTTTGAGAAATCTAATTATTATAATATAATTTTAGCTTGGTTCTTCACCGCTAACAAATGCTTCCAACCAAAATGGAATGGTTAATTCGATACGTCGGAAGATGTTAGAAGGATACGAAAGGCGGCAGTCAGCTGAAGTAATTTTGTATTATAATATAATTTTTAAAATTTTGCTCAATGCTTTGAAGTCTTGCACTTTGAAATTTAGCTTGTTTTTATTATTTTTTTTTTTGAAATTCTTAAGGGCACTCATAAATTTCAAACTTTTTTTTGCAGATTGTTCAAAGTCCATCTGTAGCATTGAAATCACTGTTGGTTGAACAGAACAATATATCTGGTAGCGGTAACTTTTCAAGTGTTCCAATTTAGTATTATTAATAATCTATCACTCTTTGGATTTGTTGTAATGGAATAAGACTGTTTATTATGTTTTAGTTATTATACATCCCAAATAATAAATAATTGTTCGTATTATAACTTATATGTTGTGTAGTTATCAGTCGGTAGTTAATCAGTGTTGTTATCAGTGCTAGCAGAAAGTGAAATAGTGATGAAGGAGTAGTGGAATTGGTGAAGAAAAGTTAGTGAATGATTTCATTGGCAAATCTTGAATAATAAATATTTCATTTTTGCTTTCCAAATATATTATATTTAAGCAAATGTAAACGTATCACTTCGTCGGCCAGTACTTACTTTTGTAATGGAACGGCATAACTTGGCTCGTATACGGGAAGCAATGGCAACTGCTGTGGCTCGTGCTACATTTTTTGCACATTCATTCCGTGTTTGGAATTGGCTCTTGAAGATGGTTTCAACTGAATCTAGGTTAGTTTCGGAATTTTGAAGTTATAATTTCTCTAAATTTTCAGTTTCTTGAAGTATTTAAAAGTTAAATAATTAGATTGTTTCGGATTTTTATGAATTAGATGAATTAAGAATAGAGCAGAACAAAAAAAGAAACTTAAACTGTGCTATATACTTCTTTCATTAGAATATATCAGAATCTTCGGCCTGAATAAAATTTTACAACATACTTATAATATTTATAACATTCTGGAACTATATTCGAAGAATCCTGATAGATTATTACAATTTACTTGTAAATATAACGATTCATATTTATCATATCTCATATTTTCCAGTGTGGCAGATATTCTTTGGCAATATTTGACAGCATTAAACTCATACGTACCATTATGTCGATGGCGTAAAAATCATTTACGTTTAGCAACAAACTTACGTCTCTTACCACATCCGTGGCGTGTTTGCTATTTAGCTGGTCCAGTTGCTAATAAAATGGTTCAACAACTACATTCTTTCTTGCATACGGTTGCCGTTATCGTACAATCAAATGGTGTTAATACTAACTTACGCTGCTTATGCTTCCGGGTGTGGACCTTTCAGTTAACGGTTCATGAACAGGTTTATCTGGCTTTAAAAATTTTACTGAAATGTTTGGACTGTGCAATTTATCACAACTTTGAGATTTCTTGTTGCTAACCTTCTGTTAATATGCTGTAAATTTAAAAGGATGCTTTCATCGTTGATAACATTTCACTTTCTTTTGATGTTTTTGATAAGTGAATGTGACATCGCTTAACATCACACAACACTACAGTTTATGCATATTTATACACAATTCTTTGTGAAAGGTGCTAAGTTGTAGGATTTGCTTTCTCTTATATGCGATGTATTAGCAAGTGTCGGTAACGTGTTGGCTGATTCATCTGAAGATCATTCGTGGAATCTGGACGATGGCGAACGGAAGACAGATTATCGTTCACTTCAAGAGCAGAAATTATTGTTGTCTAGAAAGCGTAAGATTCAATGTTTGTGTTAAAATTTGAATTTTTGGAAATTTTTGAGATTTGAAATTCAGTCTTCTGACTCAGTGTGTTATCATGTAGGATTTTTTTTTTTCCTTTTCAATCTACAACTTGTTGATGGATACAGAAAATTTTTTAAAGTGTATAAATTTTGATGTTTCAGTTCTTTTAGAAATTACTGTTATTTAAGTTCTTCAGGAATACATTTTAAAATAGTCACAAACTGCTAATTGTTTTTTAGTGCAAGCAGATGTGAAGCAAATGGAAGATATTACTGGTATTTTGAGTTATGAAGCATCAAGTCGTCAAGCAATGATTGCATGTTTAACGGATGGGAATAGTGAAACTTTCTGGGAAACTGGTGAAGAGGTCAAAATTCAAATGAAATTCCAAAAAAAAAAAAACATATCTTTGTTCGGCTTTTTAAAAAGTTTTTGCGGGAATATTCAGAATTGCTGCTATTTTGAATTCATCAAAATGCTTCTACTTGTTGGTTTTCTCACTAAATTTCATCTTTTCGATGAAGTTGTTTTTCCACTTACATCATATCAGTTAGATTTGGATGAAATTTAAATTTGCATTTTTGTCAGTTTCAGGATAAAAATCGACCACGCTACGTGACAGTACACTGTGATATCCGAAGCTATAAGGCAACGCTACTCACTGTTTACGTGGATAATATTCGTGATGAGGGTTATCGAACGTGTTCTGTTACTGTTGTTACTGCGGAAAGTGATGGAAGCCGTCGAAAGATTCATTCCGAGTGTCTCGATCACGTATGTTGATTTATGCTTATGCATTTTTAGGTAATTTATAAAAATTTATGAAATCGGTATTTTATAGTGGAATTTTTCCCAAAGCAAATGCTATCTTTTTTAATAATTAATAGTTTCGAAAGGAAATGAATCATTCATATTGACTACTTCAAAAGTATGCTCGAATTTGCTATTTTTTTGTTTGTGAATTTTTTTCGCATTTTCATTTTGATTAATGAAACGAAATGAGAATCATTTTAAAGCAATTTATTGGCTGGATAAAATGCTGCATTTTTGGACTGAGCAGTATTCAAGTGATATTTCGTGGTAACGATCCCTCCTTACGTATACGTCAGGTTAGTAATAAAAACGCACTAATATCATTATAAATACTGGTAGATTTAAATTTCTTCAGTCATCGAACAAGGATGTCATTGCATAATGCAAGAAGAAATTACAGATATCATTATAATGCAAGAAGAAAAAAAGAAGAAATTATATTAAAATTTCAAATTTCTAAGGAAATGTTAAAATTTTAGCTTCGAGTTTTTGGTACTAGCACTGCATTGGATGTGCTTAGTACTCAGTCCTTTACTAATCGGAGTTTTCTGAAGCCTTCACCATCACATCAGCTATTGTTTAATGCTAATCAGGATGATGCATTTGCAGTTTTCCAAGCTATTGCTGCTCAAGTTAGCATAAATTTCCAACTAATTTAGAGGAAAAAACTGTGTACACTGAATAGTGTCGTATCTTTTCAACTAATTTCCATGATTTAGGATTATGTCCTTTCACCTTTTTTTTTAGAACATTTGATTAAGATATTTCATTTCTGTTATTTTGAAGAGATTATGTTTATTTTCAGGCATTTAGTGACGAATTTTCACAGGAAGAAAATGGCACATTACGACAACAAGTACTTGATCTGCTATTTAGTCGTATACAATTACAACCACTTCAGACATTTGTTTGTTCTCATATGATCAGTGCTTTGGAAAGGTTTTTATTTTTATTTTCATGATTTTTTTTACAGAGTCATTAATGATGATCGCTTATTTTCTTTCGAAGTTTTCTTGAGATTTGCTTCTCTTTTTATTCTTTTCCAGTTTTGATAGTAATAATATTTGGTAGTAGAAAATCTTTTATCACAGCCAACTTTTGAGAGAAAAGAGGATATCAAGAGGTACAACCTGACATTCTATATAAAATCATCAGTTGTATAGACATAGCAGTTATTCGAGATATTCATTCGAAACTTGAATTTTCTCATTTTCTCGACATCAAAATTCATGTAAGCTTTTTTTGTGTGCCTTTATTTTTGAAAGCTTCAGGGAAGTATCGTCATTGCGTGAGAAAGCAAAGCGCAATTATTCGTACGTTTGCGGTTTGATGGAAATGTTACTGAAGATTTGCAGTTCACGTCAAGGCCTGGAAGTATTTGGTGTCAAAAATAGGATTCTCATTATCCTTTCTGAGCTTTTGTTATTTGCTCCTCAGGCAAATCTTATTTTCGCTTTCTTTTCCTTTGATTAATTGTTTATTTCGCTTAATCAATTATTGTAGACATATCTCAATTTCTTATTTTCAATATATTCCATTATCTTCAATGTTTCTATTGTTTATTAATGACTGATAATTGAAACCTTGCTCTATATTTAAAGCGTTAAATTGTATTTCCCATCCTTGCACTGTTTAATTTTTGCATTTTCAGGTAGTACAATGTCAAGTATTGGAGACAATTGAGTGCCTATCCAAGTTATTCACGCCATCCGCAGTCGATTGCGTGAATTTTACACGGAATTTATTAATATTGATAACAAAAGTGATAACACTGCAAATACGTGATAAAATGACACGGTCACTAACTTCGGCTTGTTTAGCTGTTAGTTTTATCATGTTCCTCTTTCTCTTAAATAATGTAACCAAAACATTTTTTCTATCAATATATTTATCAATGGGACTGTTCTATGGATGATATAGCGACATTTTTCCTGCCAAATTACTAGATGTGAAATACTGGTTCTAATACCGTAGTTTTGATTTGAAAAAAATACTCTCTTGAAAATTTGTAGACTCATGTGACAAGTGCACCGATGTATTGGCGAATAGATCGAGCAGTTAGCACTGATATTGCTTATCTTGCAAAACAACTATTGAAAAATTTGAGGTAGTTAAATGTAAAATATCATTCGAAGACAAATAACAATTTGCTGTAGGCCTGAATTCAATATTAAAATGCTAAGAATTCCTTGCTTGCTTTGTAATAATGTCCTATCCAGATACAAGTGCACACTGTACTAATTGAGAGGAAGCAGAAAGATTTCATTTAGAATTTTATTTTTGATAAAATTATTTACATTCATGGCAGGCTGCTTTCAATATTAATAATTGGTAAAAGCGTTCATTGGATTATGATTTATTATTTGATAGATGAGAATATTTTTACAGTGAAGGACTGCTAAATGAATACTGGACAGTTCCTGTGCGTACAGAAATTGCAAATGAAATTATGAATTTAACCTCTTTGAATATCACTCATTCATACGACAGCGATAACTCCGGAAAAATAGCAACAGATGGAAAAGACGAAAGTGCGTCAGGGCAGGCAAATAGTTCGGATTTTTCCGAATTCATTAATACTGGTAATTCTCGATCAAAGATGCTAAAGAATGGAAAATTTTGGCTTGCCGTAGCTGCACTATCTTTGTTGAAAGAGAGCCAATGGCTAGAATTGTCATCAGTATGGCAAAGTCTACAGGTTAGCTTTTCATTTATAGTTATAATTAAGATTGCAAGGATGAGCAATAATGCACAACTTGCTATGTTTTCGAAAAGAAAATTAGAAATTTGTTTTAAAATCAGTGGACAAAAGATATTGGTCAGTCCATTTGCTTTTTAGTTTGATAAAAATTCATCAGAAGCAGAATTCTTATAATTTAATGAATTCACAAAATGGGAATTATCTGATTATTCAGTACAAACTGCGTTGGATCTTGAATATATATGGGTAATCTGATAAAAGATAGAAAAAATTTTTTTCTAGTTACAGCCAATTATAGTTGTTTGTGTTTTAGGCTTTCTCTTCAGTTTATGTTTTCAAAGTTATTGCAAGAAGATTTTTTAAGAATAACAAAGAAAGTTTAACGAGAATGTTGTGTGATAATCACGATGATGGTCGAACTTTAGCTAATGTGTACTGTGAAACTTGTCAATGTTCGTTATGTCGAGAATGCTTCTCTGTGCTTCATTTAAATAAACGAAATCGGTCAGTGAATTAATCATTCAGAAATTTCTTTTTATTTTATGTTCTCTTCCTTTTGAATTTTATTTTTTTTTTCTCATATGCTAAAATTTTAGTAGTCATGCTGTGCAACATCTTGGTGACACAAATGATCGTCCACAAGTTGAAGTACATGAAGGTTCCACTCGATTACGTTTACCACATGTTTTGGTACAACTTTCTATTTTATCTTGTTTGTATTGAATCTTTTTTGAAAAGATATAATTAATTATTTTTAAATCACATATATTCACAAATTCATATCACAAAAATAAGACTGTACTATAATTCTTGATAAGTTCTTATCCTTTTTTCTGTTAAAGTGCCCTCTTAAATGTATATTTTTGATAAAATTCTTTCCAACTTTATTTCTGAATCAAATCAAAATACATATTTGATTCTATAGTGGAAAAATTTGTCTACAATTTACAGATACTGTTTAATCCAACTACTCTGAACGGAATGGTAGAATTTAATCAAAGCATTATCCGTGAAAATATACCTTCCGTGCCTTATCATCGAATTTCTGGTAAGTATTTCTCCATTTTCTCTTGTTTTTTTTCTTTTTTTTTTTTGCAAAATTTTATCATCAAATTAGATAGTAATTTCCATAACACTTTATCTATATTATTTGAAGTGGAAGTGGCCATTTTTTATCTGATCAAATATATGTTTATAAGTCAGAAGTTCCTCAAACCAGATCACTTATTTTTCGCCATTCTAAAGTTTAAAAACTTTTTCTTATTCTCGAATACATATCACAGAAGCATTAAATATTCCAGATTTTAGTCCTATTATATGTGGTTAAACTTCGCATGGATTTTTAAATTAAATAAATTAGGGTAAAATAAAAATCTGGTATTATTAAATTTTATTTTAGAAATGTCAAATCTTGCTGAAACACGTGATAACTCTACTTGCCGTTTCTGTAATGCTCCATTGTGTCCAGATCAGGTTTTTTCTACACTAATCAAATTTTCATGACAGTTTCTGTATGTCTATTAAACAATTCAGGACAGGCAGAATTTTTGAACTAAGCTAATTGAAGTATTCGCTTTTCAAAGTGCTTTTGATCTTATTGCTACTTTCTTAGGTGTTCAATTGAAAATTTCACTTCTCCAATTCTGCAGATGACAAATGTTGAGAAGGTGTTAGTTATGGAACTGAAGATAATCTCTCTGGCAAGTTGCGCTGAGAGATTTCTTCCTTCTGCGCAATTAGAAGCTTTCCTCCAAAATTTAATAATGCCTTCCACAGATCGATGGTTTGTGTAATCACGAAGAGTGTCGTCACTTTGCAACGTTTGCTTGTCAACAGCAACTTCCATGTGGTCATATCTGTGGTGGTATACGTGATGAAGAAGTATGCTTGCCGTGTATTCAATGCAGGAAGCCAGGTAGAAGTAGTAGTAGACGTGAAGTAAACGTGAAGTAAACGTTTTTATTTGTTTAAGATTGAGCCAAGCTCTACTCATTGCTATCGTAATGTGCTTCTAGTCTTTAGTAACAGATACTTAAAAGGAAAACATTGGCATTGGTAAAACTTAGATCAAAACATTTTGCTATTCGATATGAACGAGTAATTTCCATCTCTTTTACAACTACATTTTGAGATACAAAACAAGACGCAGATGATTTATGCGTGATATGTTTCACGGATCGTTTGGGTGGTGCACCGTGTATTCAGCTAGCTTGTCATCATATCTTCCATTATCGTTGTGTACGAACCGTACTCGAGAAACGTTGGAATGGTCCAAGGATTGTCTTCCGCTTTATGCAATGCCCATTATGCAAGGAACAAGTTAGTTCTGTCTTTGCAATCTGATCTTTTTGTTTGCATTCTAGATGAGATCAACTCGACATAGCACTTGTAGAAATCTATAAATTATAATATTTTTTTTTTTTCATGCCAAATCATCATGTTTCTCTTCATAATTTTTTTTTTTCGAGTTTGTGATTTGATTGGAAGTTTAGCCAAGATATCCTATGCAAAATGGCAATGTTAATTTAGATAATTAGTATCATTTCTCGTATAGTATCTTTCAGCTGTAATTTTTTTCAATTTCCAGATTGATCATCCATCGGTAGCAGATTTGTTGCTCCCACTGAAAGATTTGTATAATGAAGTATTGAGTAAGGCACGTTTGAGACTCGAATATGATGGCTTTTTGCAGTCTCCTGCGACTATCTCTGAGAGCAGGTCATTTCCTTTTGTTTCCACTTTAGACTTCTCATCGCTTACTGAACAACCCTTTCAAAATTTTGACCATCTATCGAAATAAGGCTGTGAGGCAACCATCAAACTAACTGTTTTGATCGTACATTTGGGTCACTATAGCTCAGTCGCTGTAACCTACGTAGTTTTTTTTTTTTTTTTTTTTATCTTTGAAGACTCGAGAATTCTTCACATCGTTTTATAGTTCCTCTTTCAGTACGGTCGTTAGGTCTTAATTACTTAAATGTATAAAGTTATAAAGTTAAATACATTTTCTAGTTTGGAGAAATATCCGTCGGCGACAGTTAATAATTTATTAAAGAAATACACTTTTTTAGTGAGCTTCACATGAATCTGGATGAATATGCAATGGAGCGGTACATGTATGTTCTATGTTTTAAGTGTGGGAAGGCCTATTTTGGTGGCGAAAGTCGTTGTCAACAGGTTAGTTTTGTTGATGGAGTTAAATTTAATCCAAAATTTTAAGATTTGAGATAAATTTGCTATTATTATATTTCATTTCATTCACTCACACAAGCTTGTTTCAAAAATTTGCTTTTACAATTAAACAGAGTTTAGAAAAAAACAAATATTTCAGGAACTGGATAATTCACAGTATAATCCTGAGGAATTGATTTGTGGTGGTTGTTCAGATGTGGTAGGTGCTCAGGTCTGTGGACGTCATGGAATAGACTTTCTCGAATTTAAGTGTCGTTTTTGTTGCTCAGTCGCTGTTTATTTTTGGTTAGTTATTACGAGTTAGTATTTCTTGAAATCAAATTTACACATTGCTTAAGTTTAATTAAATACTGAATTGTTAAATAATGAACATTAAAAAGTTTAACATTTTTGCTAATCGCTTAATCGCTTTATCTAGTTATTTGATTTGTATTATAGCTTTGGTACCACACATTTTTGTACAGCATGTCATGATGATTTCCAACGATTGGTATGTTTGCCGAAAAAACTTTTACCGAAATGTCCAGTTGGTCCGAAATGTGTACAACTAGATGGAAGTGAATGTCCTTTAAGGGTAAAACACCCACCAACAGGTGAAGAATTTCCGCTTGGTTGCGGCATATGCCGAAATATCAATACGTTTTGAACAATCAACAATTTTCCGGGTTCCATTTGCATTCATGGCCAGATTTTTTATCTGCATTTAAGTTATTGTTTAGCATTTCTTGATTTACTGCTGTTGGCTTTACTTATATTAATCAAGAAATGATGAGAAATTGCGCTACCGTATGGATAATAACGAAAATAATGAGATTAACATTTTAATAAGTAAATAATGATGGAAGGTAATTTCTAGGTCAGTCATCTCAGATCATATAGTATTATTAGTTGGGAGAAGGTTGAATCATAATGTACGCAAACTATTTTTCTGTTGCTGTTGTGGAGGAGTTACAGTGGTAGGCAAACTGCTGAAGAAAGGAGTTTAATATTATTGTAAACAAATATTATATCTCGATTACTTGGTGGTTTTTTTTTTTAGCTTATCGGTTTAGAAGTTTTTTTGCAGTAAAATATGTAAATATTTCAAATTAGTGTTATCATTTCTTTTGTATATGTAATAAGAGATTCGCGGTTTCATCAATATTCGACTAAGTTTTGTGTCAGAAAACGAAACTTTTTAACTAACTTTGAAATACATCTAAAAATTAAAAGCAAAAGTCGTAATAAAGCTTATGAGTTATAAGTAAGGATTATCGTTAATATAAAAATCAGGATTATGGTGATTGTCACAGATCTTTATCGGATAAATTTGATTTAGTTAATCTTTTTTGTAGATTTTTTTGTGTAGAATAGGAAAGAAGAATTTTTGAGAACCGCTCATTTGAAAAAAAATTAAGAGATTTCACATTTAAGTTTGATCTCCTTTGTTATTCCGATTAAATCTTATCTTCTTCATTTGGCTGTATTAGATTGTTTATTATTATTTATTCTTTGTTCTTTGCACTTGTTGATTTCGTCATTATTTATCTAAATTTATGCTTTAGGTTCAGCTTTCAATTGCTAATAAAATTTCTCATGGATGTTCTTTCTTATTTTTTGTTTTTGTTTTATTGTCGATTTTTTTTTATTTTTCTTTGTCTTATCAATGTAATCTTGTCTTTCTTATCCTTGAGAAAAGAAAACCTTGCCCACAAATAAGTGTTGACTCTAATTACTTCAAATAACTTATTGAATAATTAGAAATAAATTATAAAGAAAGAAGATAATCTATACTGCAAAACCACCACTATACCAATTAATCATTGTCACAGATTTGCTACATAGCCTTTTGTGCTTTATATTTAGAAGCATTGAGCTGAATGAATTTCAAGCAAATAAAAGAAAAAACTTCTAGCCAACAATGTTGTTTAACTGTATGAGTGCGAGTATTATAAAATGTAGAACAGAATTTCAGTTTTGTCATAATTCTTTTCCAAGTACCACAAATACATCCATCTAAATTCAGTATGGCACTTAAGGATGACAGGTTGTTTCAGATTACTGATAGCATCATTAGCAATAAGTTAAAGTCGACACAAATAGGGTAGTTAACGATGCTCATATACCATCACGAAATTACGTTTGTACGAGATTCGGTGTGCTGATCATGTCAACTGTCAACGTACTTCATCATACACTCTGGTTTTTATTGAAATGAAACCCAAAATGGTATAATTTATCAAACTGACCATTATCAGTAAGGAATAGCTAAATTCTCTTTATCATCTGCCATCTTAATTGAGGACATTATATGAACACTTTTTCAGAATTAATCTGAAAACTTATAATGCTGATTCATGCAAACTATCGAAGTGATAATTAAATTAGTAAAAATATGAAAGTCTCATTAAATTGTCTAATTAATATTATCGCTATCCACGCCAATTACTATTTCTATCTTATCATTTTCTCTTAAAAAGAAACGGATGCATTTTTTAGCACAGTCCATTTTAATTCTGTTTTAGAAATTCGAATGTTAGTGTTTAATCTCGTCTTTTTCCCACTTTATTTTCATTTTTTTTAAATTAATTAACCGTCAAAGAAATCTATGCGATATGATATGGCGTACGTGAACGTGGACGTGTTTTGTTTAAAAGACGATTGTAAGAACTGGAAAGTTTAGTAATAGCAAAATGTGATACGTTATGAAATGTTTTTTGTTTTTTTTTTTTTTGTTTATGTGAAATTTATTGTCTGTAAAATTTTCTCATTTCAAAGAAATGAAATAAGTTTTTTTGATACCAATCGAAATATTTAATTATTTAATATGCCTTATCTTGAAATATTGAATTCTAAAATTCAAATATTAAAATCTAAATATTTTAGTTGCTTCACTTACTTATGTTCTTAGGCTTAGGCTTATGCTTAGGCTTAGGCTTAGGAACATTTTTCACTTTTTAATAAAAGATTGCATGAAATTCTTTTTTCCTGGTTGTTTCAAAGAGAGCTCATATAGATATTATTTGTAAGTTGACATATCAGATGACATCTTCAAACTTTATGAAAATTTTTTATGTATTAGAAATGAAGAAAGTTGGAAACAGCGACAACTTTTTTCAAATTTGAAAATAGGTAACTGCAATAAATGGAGTAGTTCCAACAGATCAGTAATTTAGTCTGCTTGTAATGAAGATTTTTTCTTTAATTTATTCTACAAAGTTATCTCAAACTTTGTCGGCACTACAAAAAATAAATAATTAAGAAATATATTTTGAAAAGAATTAAAACTTATTTGTTGTTGAGAAAAAAGCAATTTTTATTGTATCTGCAAGTACTATTTATTAAATTAATTTCATTTTATTATCAATTATAAATTAATTATAAATTAATTTCATTTTATTTTATTATCAAGTTCACTATTCATTATTACAGTTTTATATGTTTACTTCCAACATCTTTGCATATTTAGGTTTGAATTAATCGTTGATAACTTCATCAACAATGCTGAAATCAATGGATCTCTCCACTTGTAAATTTTAATTTCAGTAATGCAAGTTTTACTTTATTGCATGGATATTCAAAGATAGATTCTGCTACGAAGTGAAACTAAGAAATGATTAGACTAAACAAATAAATAAATATTTAAAGTTAAAAAGGGAAGAAATATCGATTGAGCTATGCTAATAAAGTTGCAACAATATGAAAATGAATGATGGAACGAATTATTATAATGTATACATCATAACATCAAATAAATGTAAATTAATTGTAATATTGTTACAATGATTACAATATTAGTTTTAAGTTAATTAAATTGATTGTAGTTTGGTAATATAGATGTGTATAAAAATAATTTTTATATCATGATTTTCCCTTAATGATAATTTTCATTTTCGTGCGAATAAATATTAATTAAATAAATGTAAAAGTGAATGAACAAAAAATCTTCCAACAAAAATGATCGTTTTCTAATGAGTTCTCGTATAAATAAACAAATAACATAATCTTTGGTTGAGATGCAAATAAAATTATAATTGCTTCTCTGTTCAAATAAAAACTATCATACACCTATCATTACTTCATTTCTAAACAGTCCAATAATTGCTCATGTTTCTCATTAAATATGTCACTTCCTTCTCACTTTGCGTTTTTAGCGATTAAACCGAAAGTTTTTTAGAAAAAATATTATAATGTATATATCATAAAATGAGATATAAGTTAATTATAACATAGAGACTAGTCTTAACTTAGTTATAATATCATTACAGTCATTATAACATCAATACAAATTAATTACAATAATTATAATAACAAGTAGAAGTTAATATAAGTCACTTAAATATTATAAAAAGGTTGGTAATATGCTAATTTAACGATTTTAATAGTTTTGCTCTGAGAGGAATACTTATTATTGTCCTCTCAGTACTGATAAACCACCTTGCCATGTTAGCTTAGCTAATTTCACTGATAATCAATGAGATAACTTATCAGTCGAATTTTCCTACCAATCCAACTGCAGGTAATCGTTAAGTTTCCTCAATATTTATTGTCATACTGCGTTGTGCTAAATAATATTACAACAAATTCTATTGCAAATTGTAACTTCGATTCATCTGCCCAATTCGATATTTAATTCTAGAAGCGTTGACAAATGATATTCATTAGAAAGAAATTAATTAACCAAACCAAAAGATTACAGATTTGCTTATCCTACTTCGAACTTTTTAATCAATCAAAAGTAAATTGGCGATGTATTTTAAATTTTTAATATATGCACCACAAATTTCTACCAAAATTTATTTTTGTTTCCTCTTTTTTCAGCTATTATTGTTGAGCATTTCAATTCATTACAAATGTCTGTGAAAAGCATTGATAATATAATCTCTGTTAATCATCATTCAGGATGGAATAATTCAAGTATGCAAGCTTATCATTCCATTATCAGTGATAATCGCTTACTCATTTTACATTGGAAAAATCTATATTTGTGTTTACTAAAAGCCACACTTTCTAATCACAAACAAAACAAAAACCTCTTACTTCCATGAGAACTTATCAGCAATATATCTATGATTGAACTTTGAAATTTCTGTTGAAACTTAAATTATTTGCCGTATGAGATGCACAACAATGAATTGAATGAATTTATTCATTGCCGAATTTGAATTCACTTTTGGAATATCAATGTAGAGATGCTGTAATGATGGCATAATTTACTCCAAAGAATTTGATAGAAAGATTTTTTCGATATTTCTAAAAGAATGAAATAATAGTACTTTTAATAATATTATGTAAGTCAATGACTTTCATCAATTAACTCAAATCAAGTAAAGTATCTTTTGCTGATCATCAATCAAATCTAGTTCAATTCTCAAATAACAAAATTCATCTTTTGAAATTCACATTCAGATCGAGTAATCATAATTGTTAAAAAGATCCGAGCAGAATTTTTCTTTCCGGGGAACAGAAAAATATGTAAAAGAATTTTGAGATGGAAATATTTTTTCATAAACAATTTAACAGCAATAACAAATACCAATTAACAATATTATTAATAATAATAATAATAATGGTAGCAATGATACTAATGACTATTATTTATTATTATTACTGTTATTGTAATTTCAACAACAAAGCAGCAATGATAACAATAATAGTAATAATTAA